TCTCTCTCTCTATAATTCTGCCTTTGCAATGAAACAAATAAATCTTTATAATCCACATCTACTCTTCTCAGAATACTTTTTGCAAGACCACACTAGGGATAACACTCTGTTTCTTATATTTGCTATCGATTTGTCTTGAAATGTCATTTATTTCCTTCAAAAAACTCCCCAACAAAATCCCATTCATGAGAAAACTCAGCTCAAGACACAGATTTTATGTCAGGAGGTCCAAAACTATCAAAAGCATCATGCCTTACTGGCAAGTGAGATTGGAAAATTTCCTTTACTTTTTGCCTTTTTCTCACTATTGTGAAGAAATTACATTGTCGGGCCCGGCGCAGTGGCGCAAGTGGTTAAAAGTCCTGGCCTTGCACGCCCCGGATCCCATATGGGCGCTGGTTCTATCCTGGCAGCCCTTCTTCCCTTCCAGCTCCCTGCCTGTGGCCCGGGGAAAGCAGCCCAGGATGGCCTAAAGCTTTGGGACCCTGCACCTGCGTGGGAGACCCGGAAGAGGCTCCTGGCTTTGGATCGGCATAGCACTGGCCGTTGCGCTCACTTGGGGAGTGAATCATTGGACGGAAGATCTTCCTCTCTGTCTCTCCTCTCTGTATATCTGCCTTTCCAATGAAAAAATAATAAAAATAAATCTTTCAAAAAAAAAAAAAGAAATTACATTGTCAAATTTTAAATGCCAACATGGTGATTAATGGATAAAAAAGGACAGACTTTCTGATTCTTCCTTGACAAGCACTGAATTGTGCCTATCAATATTTAAGTCACAGAAAGAATGGAGTGTGTAGATGACTTGGGGGATGTTTCTGTAAGCAGCTCATTTGGGAAGAAAATCTACCAGATGCAACGTAAGCCTGACCATGACCTAATTCTGTGTCAGTTTTCCTAATGTGAAATTTCACAATGGTTGTGCAAGTCAGGAAGCTCACACATTCTTCGTTCAGGATACCAGAGGAGCTGGCAGACCTCACTACCATCACCAGGCATTCTTCCCCTGCTGTGTTTGTTCCGTGCACTGGCAGAGAGAATGGGACAGCAGAGCGTTTTTCACTTCCCTGAGCTTTCCTTTTCAAATGCTGGCTTTCTGATCCCCAGCGTCTGTTTCTGCTGTGATTTCCAAGAGCGCTCCCTGAACCTCTTCCTAAAATGCCTCTTGCCCCCCAGTTGCGCTGATGTGATCCAGGGCTAAGAGAACCTCTGGGTTTCCTAACCTCGTGTCCTCTCAGGGGTAGATTGCATTTTCATATCAGAATAAAATTTTCAAACAAAAATAATTAGGGCCTCTGTTTTCCTCTCTTCAACTGTTAAAGGTTGTCACTCTGCTTTTTGACTTTTGAACATTGACATTGCTTTTGTCTATTTTTTCCTCTTTCAAAATGTGACCAATTCCTCCCCCCCCCCCCAACCCCCGATTTCCATGTCCTGCTTTAATTTGCCCTTGGTTTTTGTTTAAATGATTGTCAGGATAAAAAATGAAAATCTTGCATTATCTCCATGAAATATTCCATACAGACTAGTTTTAGGGATCATGAAGGCCTCAAATTGCTCGTCCCCTTATCGAGATTATTTAGCTGATCAGGTGGTTCATCTTCTACATTATCTCTGCTACACATCTTTGCCCAGTTCTTGGTGGATACACAGGAACCTGAAGAAAGTCAGTAAAATGGCATACTCTTCTGCTTGCAGTGAGTGGCAGCACAGATGTTGCATACTGTGGCCCCAGCTCTACCCTACCACATCCTGGGGTCAGCGTACCCACCCATAGGGCTTAGAATGCAGGCAGCAGAGCCAAAGGGGGAAAACTATTGGAGTTTGTCATGGCTTGCTGTAACTGAGAAAGCAGACTCAGCATGCATGGAATGCAACTGTTTCAGAGAGGAGAGTTCGAGAACAAAGAGGAAAGGTAAATTGTGTTTGGAGTGGACACCGCTGCCAGGAGTAACTTTGCTGGCTTTTTCTAGTGCAACACTGAGGTGGAAATAGTGTCCTCTCCTTGGCTTCTGTCTGTCCACTGTCATTGCTGCTGTCCATCTAAGAGACCTTGGAGTTGCCACTGTGGTGAAGGAAGTCCTGTTTTTGTCACATGGGTGAAGGTTCCTTTTTCTTCAAGGGCTCTTCTTTCCAGTGCAGGCCTCAACATTTCTTCGTGTGTGCTCACGGTTACTAAAGTGGCATCAATGGTAGGAAAATGATCTTTTCCAACGTCAGCTGAACAGTATTGCTTTTGTCCTGTATTTGTTAATTTCTTCACTGTAAGTTATCTTTATATGCAAATATGGTTTGAAAAGATCTCTGATGTCAAGCATTCAGTAAATGTTGAAAAGAAAAAAAAAGTTCCTGGCCTTTTCTCAAGCATTTTTTTCTGTATTTAAAATGAATTACTCCCGTTCCCCCCCGCCCCCAAAGAGAAGGGAGAGTGAGGAGAGACAGGAGGAAGAGAGGCGAAGAGGAATGCTTGCTTCTCACCCTTCTTGCAAAGATCACGTGAGAAGAGGAGAAATGAGAATTAGAGTTCTGGAAGTTAACCTTATTTGATACTTTCTAAGGTGGCTTTGTCATTTATATGTTCTATGTCACATAAAACAAATGTAACATTTCCAAATCTATTTTTTAAAATCTATAAACTGAGATTGAGCACTGTCTTATGCATGTTAAATAGTTAGCACACTAATAGTGCTGTAAATAGAAATAGTAGCTATTCTATAATTTTAAAACTACTTCAAGTATACAATATTTATTACACAAGAAAAGTTTTAACGAAGTGCAAACAGATAAACAGTAACAACATATTTCAATCTTAACATTAATTTGCATAAAGCAGATTTTGATAAGTCTGAGATAAATCTAGTAAAATTATTATGATTTTGATGAGTGAATCTTGCATTTTCCAGATGCATAGTATATTCTCCTAAGTTTATCCACATTTAACAGAATTAAATGACCCAAAGGGTATACAACTGTTTACAATTTTGAACTTTGCTATCCCATTCACTTGCCAATTTATTTATTAAGCTTATTTATTAAGCTTATTTATTTTAGCTTATTTATTAAGCTAAAGAGAGAGAGAGAGAGAGAGAGAGAGAGAGAGACAGAAAACATAAGCAAAGTCCAATGTGGTTAACAGATTGTTTTATTATCTTATCATTTTCTACACTATCTAAAATGTAAAGTATATTGTAAGACTTTGTGAAAAATAATCCTTTACATACTTTTCAGAAGGTTATAAGCAAATACAATTTATAAGTAAAAGTTAGTTTTAAATTAAAACCAGTTTGCGATCTTTATAGAATTTATAGAAGCAGCCAACTTATAACCCAGTTTGAATACTTGAAGCATTCCACATTAAAGTATTTCTAGTAAATAGAAAATTCAAAGTTTAGATAGAACACCAGCTGTCACTGTGTCGCCAAGGTAACACTGAGTCCTTGCTGGTCCCCAGAACATGATGGAGAGCAATAGGAGAAAGAAAAAGAACATTTTTAGAAAGACCAGAAACCTGAAATACATTTACTGAGTGACTCCTCCAAAGGCATCTTGGTAAGGTTATTCAATTTCTGAGGAACAGAACTTGATTACAGTAATTAAGGCTCCAGATCATGCATTAATAATGAAATATAATTACTAATATGTAAATGATAACAACATATTTAAACTTGTTATTTAAGTTATCAACATATGGATTTTCATTTTGAATCCTTTAGGACTTCATGGACAACTGAAAGCAATCTTCATAGAAATATCAGAATCTCAAACTACATGAATATAAGTGAATTCATTTTATGAATGTGAAATAATTATTTATGACAATTTTAAAAGACAATTGCAGTAAGAAAACCATTTTTTAGGATTTTGAAGTACTTAATATATAAAATGGTTTACATGGTTATTACGTATGTGACATAAATTAAAATTATTTAGAAAGATAAATAAGTGAAAATTAACTTTTATACTGATTATAAATAAGCATGGACTTACATTTCCAACTTCTGATTCATGGTCCTCTTAGCCTGAATGAACACTGTTTTCTTGAAGGTACAAAGAAAAAACAAAGTGCAGTGAAAAATACTTTTAAAAAACTACATCTCCTGAATGGTCAAGACACTGAAAATCCTTTGACGTAATAATAGCTCTCAATAGTTCAAATTTATATTATTACATTTACCAGCTCTCACTGAATATTGCATTACAAATAAATAGAAAAAAACGTGTTCATAAGGTGAAGCTTGAACTTAAAATGCAGTACCTATGATAAGTTTAGCAGATATGTGCTTTTTAAAAGAAGCAAATTAAAGAAAATGAGAAAATGTAGGTCATAACTGTGGTTTCTTTATATGCTTCTCATCCTATAAAACATCTTTAAAAAGAGCTGGATCTTAGGTTCAAATTTATGATAAGCCATGAGCCCAGGATCAGTAATACAACACAAATCTCAAACTAAAAAATAAAAGAACAAAGAATAAGGCTTCAAATAAACTTATACAGTCCTCGTGTTCGTTAAAAAAAAAAAAGGCACTTTCTAAAGAACTGTCTTTGCATTTCTGCCACTGGCATTTATCAGCAAAAAATATGATTTAATGGTCTATAACATTTCACTGTTTTAATTAGGTCTTAATATAGTTACATTATATGTATTAACCTATACATACACATATAACACAAGGAAGCTCACAGTTCAGTTCATCTCTATCACAACCTCGCTACTCCTTCAGCAGTGTACACCACATGGTTCAGGTGAGACAAACACTGAATTGTCAAATGCAACTTCAACACACTGCAGCAACATTGAGAGGCTATCTTTACTGACAGATTGATTAGAATGAACATATAAGGGTAAAAGTATATTTTCAAGGAGTCATGTGGACACACACTTTAACTTTCTCAGGCTATAAACAGTAGATCTCTGCTTGATCTCTTTTAATGACTGAGATGAGCTTTGAATATTTCTGTGGTACATGAAGATCAAGAGGTGATGAGTACGTTTGAATCTGTCCTTGAATATTTCACTTTTCCTTGGCTTTATCAAAACAGTCACCTTCTTTAGAAGGCTGAAGATCTCTGTCACCATTTAGCGTCTGGATATCTGATCTGTTTTTTTCATTTTGCCTTAAGCGGTAACTTTTATAAGCACGTTGAATAATGGTTGCTGAAACTGCCTCTTGTTTTCGTTTTAGCGTAGTTGTGATTGGCTCATATGTGATCTTAAAAGGGTTAGCTAACAGAAATCCCGTTTCTATCTCTGAAAGGACTTTGTCCATCCTCATATCATTACCCATCACTCTGTTGGTAAAAGCAAGTAAAATGTCCAGGCAATGAATTCTGTCTCCAACAGCCATGGGAAGATCCATGGCGATGAGCTGGCCCTTGTTGGGTTTTGCCATGTAAAGAGGAGGATCGAGAGAAGCTGCGAAATCTGAAAGTTTGCTGGAATCTAGGTACTGGGTCCTATCTGGATCAAACCTATTCCATACCTGAAAGAACCTCCTAAAATCATCTTCACTCAAGGTTTTGTTTTTTTTCTTAGAAGCAATGTTTAAAAACTCCATGATAACCACAACATACATATTTACAATGATCAGCCATGATATGAGGATGTAACTGACAAAATAAAAAATCCCAACAGAGGGATTACCACAATCTCCCCGAACCCCAGTCCCAGGGTTAATTTTATCAGGATCACAGTCAGACCATTTACTGTTGAAAATTGCATTAAGCATCCCATCCCATCCAGCAAATATTGTAACTTGAAAGAGACAAAGCATACTGCTTCCAAAAGTTTCAAAGTTGGACACATCATTAATTCCAGCTTCCTTTTTAACATAGGCAAAGTTGTACATTCCAAAGATGGCATAGACAAACATAACCAGGAAGATCAGAAGACTGATGTTCAACAAGGCAGGAAGTGAGAGAATCAGAGGGAGCATCAAATTATGAAACACCTTTGGTCCTTTCCCAAGACGTAGGATGTGGATAATCCGTGAGAGAAGTATCATGGGCACAAGAGAGGAGGGTACGAGTGAGTGTCCTACAGTCACAGGCAGAAGCAGACCTTGGCGTGGGACAAGATGAGAGAGGCAATAGAATTACCCACATTCAATTGTGTTTAGGAGGAACATACATCACTACACATTTTGTTGACTTTCTGTATTTTATTAATTCTTTATTAATCCCCTGCATTTTCTGAAGAATGATATTCTATTGCTTATCTGAAATTTTCTATTGCTAATCAGAAATACTACTTGTATCAACTATCAGAAGTCCAGTAAAATCTGAAGCATTATTCTAGCATATAATCATAAGGATATTATATATTATACATTTCTGGAATCACAGAGTATCTGAATACATAAAGAAGGATAGTACATTATTTTTTTTATTAGTTTTATCCAGGAGCTCAAATATAAATAATCCATAGTAAAAAAAAAAGTAGTTGCTACTTTTTTTCTGATTGCTTTTGAATCAGGATCTTCTATGCAGTTTGTCTTTTACCAAATGCCTAACAGATATTATTTAAATATGTAAAAGTGAAAAATGTGATTTTTGTCCTCAAAAACCTTATATTACAGAAAACAGTGATAGGCAATTAAAATAATTACAATGCCAGGCAGAAAGGCCTAATTGATAAATATGATTACCAAATTGTCTGGCACCCAGTGATTCATAGGTTATAATATAATTTGTAACTAGTATTTGGGCCTCCTGATCTTTGGATATGTGAGTTCTTTGTTTAGAACTCTTTGTGGTGATGGTAGGTAGATGAGGCAAGTATTAGAGTTATTAGGGGAGGAACAGTTTAAAAAGAAAACATTATACTCAATTCCTGTAAGAGATATGAGAGATGTTTTCTGGAGGTGCTTGAGAAAATGTGGTTTATTTTGAATGTGTAGGTGGTACAAGGATGAAGTCTGCAAATTACGCAAAAGAAAGGGTATGCTTGCTGCATCTGGAAGCATGACGCCTCATGTTTTCTATTAAGCTTGGTCACTGCTTAGGATGACATTTTTCTGATGCTTTCCATCACCTGTATCCTCATCTTCATGGTGCCTTAATAGTCCTCCACTCTGACCTCCATTTCCATTTCTTCTCTGTCTTTCAAATGCTCTCACTATAGAAGAAGGGCCTTCCTTTAATTGTAAATTTCTCTCCATACTCAGCACCTTGTTTTTTATGAACTTATCTAAAATATGACTCTACTTGGAGATCACCACTCTCCTTCCAAAACTCAAGGGTAGGCAACTCATACTCTCTTCCTCTGTATGTCTCAAAGTAGAAACATGGAAGTAAATACAATTTTTATTTCGTCATGTGATTTCCAATCACTTCTCCTTCCTATCATTTTTATAAAAGTAAAGTAAGTTTATAACTTTTTTTAGAAGATGCAATTCAACTATATTATTTCCTACCATTGCTTAGCTCCTTAAATCTAGTTGTCCACATCTATGGCCACATTCTGGACACAAATACAGAATACTTTCTGAAATCATAAACTCAAGCAACTTTCTGACTCCAATTTCTTTTTCCAGCTCTCTGATTAAGTGACTCTAACTTTGAAAATAAACAAAAACAACAAAATCCTCTCCATACACAACAGTTTGTTACAATTTTGCTTTGCTCTTTCCTTATCCCACATATCTCAATTTAGTTTTGCTTCCATAATGTAGCCCTATGAACCCTAATTACCATTCAGACAACCCTCCCTTGTACACTCGCAGCACCCTCTGCTTCCCCGACCCTAGTCTTAATAGAAAGCATTAAAATGTAATTTGCCCATACCAACAAGTGAAAACTTGACTAGACAATATCTTACCTGTAATGGAGAAAATGACTACCATGAAATCAAAAATGTTCCACACAATGGTGAAATAGTGACAAACAAAAGAGATGAGCTTCAGAACGCATTCCACAGTATACAGCATAACGAAAATTGAGTTAATCCAGTAGATAGCAGTTTGCATTTGTGCACTCTGTCCATCACTTTGTATCATAAAGGTTATTACTTGGAAACATATCAGAACTATAATGATGACATTGAAAACTTGGCTTGTTACCAAGTCAAAAATTAATCCTTGGAACTTGTTCTGTAGGTAAAGAAAACAGGTGTAATAGTTTATAAATTTTTTGTTAATAGTTTAAAATTACTTGTTAATTTTTACTTACATGTTTTCATTTTATTTTAATAAGGCAGGTAACAGAACAATGTTTAATCTTCCAGCATGCAAACAACAACATGGGCTAGGCCAGGCCAAAGGCAGGATTTCAAAGTTCCATCTGGGTCTTCAATGTGGTTGGAAGGGACCCAATTACTTGGGAAATCATCTAGTGACTCCCAGGAGGAAACCATACAAGAAACTGGATGAGAATTGGGGGAGCTCTACTTGAAGCACGTATCTTGATATGGGCATCACAAGGAGAAACCTAATTACCCACTCTGCTTCAAAGCATTTGTTAAGAAGTTTAAAAACATTTTAATTTGAAAAGACAATGTATAAATAATATGTTAACTGCAAAAAAATCTTTTTACTTCCAGTGATATGGCATAGCACGTTAAACCTCCAGCTGTGGGAGTCAGCATACCTATCAGCTAGTTTGGGTCCTGACTATTCCACTTCCCATCCAGCTCCTCTGCCTGTGGCCTGGGAAGGCAATGAAGAATGGTCCAGGTGACCTGCATGCACTATGGAGAGTCAGAGTCTCTTAAGAGACTCCTGAAGCTCTGGTCCTGCTTCCAGATAGGTCCAGCTCCGGCCTTTGAGGCCATCTGGGGAGTGACTCAGTAGATGGAAGGTATTCTCTGTGTGTGTGTGTGTGTGTGTGTGTGTGTGTGTGTGTGTGTGTGTGTGTGCGCTTGTCTCCTTTCTCTGTAACTCTGCCTCACAAATAAAACCAAATAAATCTTTAAAAAGATCTTGATGTTTTCTTACTCCTGGACGAGGCACTGGTCTTTGAGAGTCATCACACATCAGCTTCTTTAGCTCACGGTACTGTTTCTTTTGTGTTGCGGTTACAAAGATGTTTGAGCCTCCCTGGTAAAGAAATGAAAGAAAAAAAATATTAAAATTACATCTAACCCCAATCTCCTCTGTACTGATGCATAGTTTAGAAAACTTGTCAGTTATTGATCTAATTTTTAAGAAATGTTTAGCTGTAATAGGCTAAATCTTATTTGAATATGACTGACTTCTGCTTCATAATCTATAAGAAACACATGAGAATATGTGCTAGCTATGTGTGACGTTCAATAAGCCTTATTTATCTCTATGTACTTTTGATTCTTTTGAGTAATCAACCCTATTTTCATTTTTTAATCTATTAAAGGCTCCTTCTTTCTAAAGAGGGAGGGACAAAAGGGAAATGTGGGTGGGTGGGGAGACATTAAGCAAAAGGGTAAGCTAATTTGTGCTTTTTAATTAATAAAAAATATAATTGGTCACATCTATATATTTTTAGTGATAATTTTACTATCTTACCAATACACATTGTATACAATGTCATATTATTCTAGGAATTAAGAATTGCTACTGCCATCATCAGTCAGTACTTGTTTGTCACACGCACTTGTTTGTAAAAAATAACACTGTGACTTGAAATAGAAGAGCAGAGCAGACTGTGTCTGGAGGTGTCAGAGACTGGGGTCAAACTCCGCTGGTATGGCCTGTGAGTGGACAAAATTCTAAGACCAAAATCGAGGCCTGCAGATTAAGGCCAACAGCTGGGCAATGGTCCAAAGCTATAGGACTTTGTGTTTTAAGATATTCTGGTGGGCAAGGTGCAGCAGTATACTAATGAAAGTCCTTGCTTGACATGCACTGGAATCCCATATGGGTCCTGGTTCATACCTCAGCTTCTCTGTCCATCCCACTCCCTGCTTTTGGCCTGGAAAAGCAGTCAACGATGACCCAAAGCCTTGGGTTCTTGCACCTGCATGGGAGACCTGGAGGAAGCTCCTGGCTCCTAGCTTTGGATCGGTTCAGCTCTGGCCATTGTGGCCACTTGGGGAGTGAAACAGCAGATGGAAGATCTTTCTCTGTGTCTCTCCCTCCCTCTGTGTATCTACCTTTCCAATAATATCATTTAAAAATCTTAAAAAAAAAAAGATATCTTGGAGACAGTCATGTACTAGCTTCTGTACTTGGCTCATACCTTTATGCTTGTTTTCTGATCATCAACCTTTGGGTGGTTAACATGAGCCGTGGCTATCAATGTTTGTGCCAGATCAATTCCTAGGTATTGACTCACCAAGAATTTCAGTAAAAGACTGAGGGAGTGACACTTCTAAGTCAACCCCCTTTCTCAGAGAAAGAAGCTTTCCTCTTTATCTTGTGCCTGTCTTAATTTTATTTACTCAGTTACATATGGCCCCCTTTCCAACCCTGTTCATGCCAACCTGGTTGTAGTAACATAGTCACTTAAAATCAATAGGTATCAATAAGTAAAGTTCAAAAACCTGTTCTGGATTTTGAAGTCCCTTGGTAGCAGGAATATCCAATGAAAATCATTTTTTAACACTGGACTCTTGACCCTCTGCAGATCATTGGGAATTCAGTGCTATACAACCTTCTTTTCAGAATTAACATTTGATGACATGGCTAAACGTGGCATTTTAAAATTAAACTATTCTTCCCTTGGCTGTTTCAGAAGGCTTGCCTATATTTTATAGAGTTTATGTCTCATTCAAATGAACACAAATTTTTTTTGAGGCCTTTGTATTTGTGGAGATCCTTCAGGCAGTCTCAATAGCAATGGCGGCAAAAACAGGTTGTTCTCTGAACTCTGTTGTCGAGTTAAAAAAACTTGCAGTTATGCCATCCGATGTGGATTTATAAGTTTCTGTACTTTAAGCAGAAAGAGCTACTCTAATTTACAAAGCTGTGCAAGTTGCTTTTAGCTTAAAGGGCTAGCCAAAATAATAAGAATTTTTTAAAGCTCTTTACATATTTATTTAGATTCATGAAAACATCACTTATTTTAAACACATCATTAGCTATAATATGCTTATACATAAACGTTCACTTTTGTTCTTTTAAACTTGCTTATAATGCTGTGAATGTCGAAAGTAATAGAAAGATGAACATTTCAGCAACGTTCAACAGTGCAAAAACACTAGTAATTTTTCTTAGCAAAAATCAAAGAAATACATTAAGCCAAATCCTAAACCAATTATTTGAAACAGGGCATTTTTATAAATTGTTTCATTTCCTCAGGCATTGATGATCAAAAAATATTTATACTTATCTTTATTTTATGTTTGTTGAAATTGACCACAATCACACTAATCAGCACACTCAAAGGGAGAAATAGTCCAAACATAATAAAGATGATGAAGTAGCAATACATGTAGATACTATATTCAAAACTAGGCTGCATATTTATCTGAAAGATAATTTTAAAGAAGTAAAATATTAATTCTGAGTTTTTAAAGCACAAGATTTATAAACATTTTATTACAAGGAGATAAAACAATGCTATTTGAGGTGATGTCTTTTCTGTTCTTCAAAGAATAGTACTGATTTGCTTTTTATTTTGTCTTATTATAAAGGGACTAGATTTCATGTATGTCACAGATACAATTGTAAGAACATACTATCACTCTCCATCTCCTTTTCTTTCTCCCCTCATTCCTTTCAGTTTTTGTGGTAAGTTATTTTGAATTTACCTTATAACCAGTATTATTACTATGGTAGTATTATTATATTAACCAGTATATTAACCAGTAGTATTATTATACTGGTTATAAGGTAAATTATACACTACAGTATTCACCAAGCAAAAAGTAGAAAGACTATCGTTCCACAACTATATGGACCAGGGCTATAAACTATCAAAGCAGAGGATGTCGGCTTCCCTCTTATTTTATTCCACTGGTGTGGACATTGATACAAATTTACTAACTAGCCAAGTGACCCTAGATACAGTTCTATACTTCTGAGAGCATTCAGTTTCCCATGATATACTCAATCTAAGCTTGGGTATTGCTTCTGTCCTGTGCTTGAATTTCAAAATGACTTTGCTTGAAATAAGACAAAAGTTCTGAAGCTATATTGTACTTACACCCACAGAATCAACTGCTGAGTTCATAATAGTGATCCATCCATTAAATGTTGCCTGTGAAAACAAACCACATGTGTTTAATTCCTATGGAAATATATGCTTCACGGTAAATACAAATGAAAATTCAATTTGTTGTTAATATATTAAACCATTTGATAGTAAATACTACATACATAAATTATAAAATAATTAAGATCTTTAATACATCTGTTACTATGTTATTTCTTATTTCTTATTATTTTTGGTGGGGGAGGGAAGTCAGATATACAGAAAGGAGGAGAGACGGAGAGGAAGATCTTCCTTCTGATGTTTCACTTCCCAAGATTAGCCAGAGCTCTACTGATTTGGAGCCAGAAACTTGAGTCTCTTCTGGGTTCCCCACACAAGTGCAGGGTTCCAAGGCTTTGGGCTGTCCTTGACTGCCACAAGCAGAGAGCTGGATATGAAGTGAAGTCGCTGGTATTATAACCAGTGCCCATATGGGATCCCTGCACATGCAAGGCAAGGACTTTAGCCATTGAGCTCCTGCACCAGGCCTTTAGTTATTTTATTTGCACCACACTCTAACCAACTGAGTTAACCAGCCATTTGCCTTTAGTTATTTCAAATGCTTAGTTTATTGAAGGTAAATAACATTTTTAAGATGGTATACAATAGGGCATTCCAGCCATCTAGAGCTTGTACACCTGTAGTATTCTATGTGATCAAGAGATAAATGGTGTACCTCTAAATTTTAAAGGTACAGTGTAACATATTAGTCATTCCTCAAGGCAATAAACAGGAAAAAAGTGATATCTCAGGTTTGTGATGCTATTACTTGGTCATTGATGGCACAGTAAGTTTGGCCAGCAACTGCTTTTTCCTATGTAAATTGAAGCTTCACATCTATCTACTTCTCCCAACAGGGCAAGAGTTAATATTTGCTAAAGTATTTAAAAATTGCATAAAAATGTAATAATAATCTGAATTTAGTTCTTTATGCTCAACCAGTAATACATATGAAAAAGCTACTGTCAAAAAAAAATTAAAAATAGCACTTACTACTTGAAGCAGTGAAAGGAAACCGTTTCCAACATTATCAAAGTTTACTTTTGCATTTTCCCATGGCATGGATTCATTAAAAACAAGGCTCTCACATTGAGTCTTATTCATGACTTCGGATACAGGAAACCTTTCTCCACTTATTGGATCAATGCATTCATAAAATTTTCCAGCAAATAAGTGCACTCCCATGATACTAAATATCAGCCAGATCAGAAGGCAGACCAGAAATACATTCAAAGCTGGTAAAGTAGTTTTTATTAAAGCTCTCACAACAACCTGGCATATAAGAAAATAAACATATAAACTTAAGGCAAGCAAAAACTATTTTAATTTCCAAACTGGAAACAGCAACGGATGCAATATCATTCAGAAGAACTTGAAAAGATCATATCTAAAGATTTAATAGCCCACATGGCAATATCGTGATGATCTAAATAGAAATTCAATGTTAATTAAAATATACACTAAAACTTAAGAGATTTTCAAAGTCTTTGTGCTATTAATAAATCAAAGGTAACTCTGGTGTAAACTCCAGAGTAAGTATTTCACTGATTTAACCTTTTATTGCTTGAGTAAGAAAAATAATCAAGTGGTGTGTACATATGAGATTATCTAGAAAGCTCATAAACTAAGACATCAGATCAAGAACTGACTTGAGGAGTTTATATATAGAAAGGGTTTGCTCAAGGACAGTCAAAAAAGTAGGGAAGAATCAAAGAGACTGCATAAACTGCTTTACATGGTGTGGTCTACTCATTTTCTTCATAGTGGTCAGAATAATCCTTAACATGAGATTTGTAAGAATTAAGTTTTGATGTACGACTTTAATAAAAGTAGGTATATCTTAAAACCAAAACTTTCCTTTCATTGAGTAATTACTTTGTGTGTATTCTTCTAGTTTTTAAAGGTAGCTACTTGATCAAGTTTTCATTTTCTGATATATATGTTCCTAAAACTGAGACAAATACATTAATATCTATATATTGGTTAAAATATTCACGTATAAATGTCTCCAATATATTTTATCAGTTATGTTTTATTTGTCTATTATTAGCTTTCTGGTTTTTTTTACTTACTTAATTAGTTTTCATATCTTAGCAGTAATGGTCCTTAAGCCTCAAAAAGTAAAATTAACATCTTCCTCTGTCTTTAAGACTGCAATATAACACTTTCAATGTGTTGATGTTAAATGTACACATGAGAAGACAATAACACTTAGTAAAAAATATAGATCACTTCAGGAATTTTTATCTTACCTTCATTCTTTCAAATTGAGATAGAACTCTGAGTGCCCGTAGGAATTTAATGGAAGTAAGTGGTTTTAGCTCTTCTCGAGTTTTGCCTATTAAGCTAAGACAAAATACCTAAATATATATAAAAAAAGAGTTAGCAACATCAGAATTAAAATGACATGTAAGATAAACTTTGAATTTATTAAATATTTGTCCTCCTAAGTTGATTTTAATGACATAATTTTCTTATAGCTTTCTACAAGTTATTATCAAGATGTTAAAATATTACCCATACTTATTAGTAGGCATAGATCAGCATAGTACTGGTTATGACAATGCCATTTTGTAGACATGATTTAAAACTCAAGCCAACAGAATATAAGAATTTTAGGTTGCTAATATTTTTAGACTTTATGAAACCTATTAATTGTGATTTCATAGTCAATACAATACTCTTTTAGAAGAACAAGATCAATATTTAAGTGAAGAAAAGATGAAATTTTGGTTACTGAAATGTACAGAAGGTAGTAAGTTAAAATATATTTAAGATGTGGCATTTTAGATACTTGTTTGAAATACGTACAACAACAACCATGAAGTCCAGTTTGTACCAGTTGTTAGAAAAATAGGCTTTAAAACCATATGCCATCCACTTTAGAAGCATTTCCAGAATGAATATGTAAGTGAAGATCATGTCAGCATATTCTAGTAAAATTTTGATAGTTTTTTTCTGGTCAATGTATATATCTTCAAAAGCCTGTGAGTTAAAAAAGAATCTCTCAGGATTAATGTACCCAGAATTTCTAAAAGCTCTTTGAAAGAATGGAACTGTCCACAATAAGCAGCTGATGAACAGTGTCACAGTCTGTAGTCTAAAGGAATCTTTTTCATTTGGCTTGGATTATAGAGTTGCTAATTATCATTTCTGGTTCTCATGCCTATAGCATTAATTGGTACTAGTCTAGTCATTTGAGGTGGTCAACCCACAGACATAAGCTACTTCCCAATACAGGATGAAAGATTTAAAAACAGTATGTGTTCAGAGATCCTTACAGCTATTACCAGAAAATGCCAATAGCTTCTTTTGCTGCAGGAATAATCAGGAAACCAACAGGAAATTGGTGAATGCTAAATAAAATAATTGTGCAAACCTTCTCAGTTTTATCAGAGGACTCTTAATTTTACTGTGGTATATGTAAAGTCTAATCATCTCATTCAAAACAGTAATATCATTCACTCCAACTCAATAGAGATCATAAAGTACCAACGGGCTCAAGTCCAATTTCACAATCAAGTATTTTCAAGGAGAAAAAGTAAATAAGGATTAAAAAATCTAATTCAAAAAACGAAGGGATTCTCAAAACCCTACTGTAAAGTAACAGTAAACAGAAAATAACATTAGAGATGCTAACATTTAATCAAACTGATTATAAAGGGAAAATGTCTACAGAAGCAGAATCTAGTGAATGATCAAGTTTTTAAAATAAATTAATTTTTTGGAAGTACTTGTTTATTTAAAGGCAGAATAAGGAAGGGCTAGATGGGGGAGAGACAGATCTTGCACTCCTTGATTCATTCCCTAAATGGCTGCAACCTTCATGGCTAGACCAGGCTGAAGGCAGGATCCAGAAACTCCGTTGCATTCTCCACAGGTGACAAGGTTGCAGGCATGTGGGTCATTTGTAGCTGCTTTCTGAATTGGAAGCAGAGTTGCAAGCAGCAGCTTAACATGCTGTTTTACCATGCTGTTTCCTGTTTTATTATTTTCTTTACAGGAAATTATAAAAGATATGCAAAGATTTTCGCCTGAATTGGCATAAATGGATTGCCTTTCAGCAGGCAATGCTCCCGCTGTGCACAACTAGAAAAGTTGTGTATAAATTTTTCAAAACCATCCTTTCTTAAAGCCATCAGTGAAAATGAAATGGGGTCTAACATCATAAAGGACGTTATACAGAAAACAAAAACATTTACTCCATAAGGTCTAATAGAATCTAACATCAAATCAGACAAGACATATAACTAAAGATGAAAATTTCAGAATGATAAGGTGAATATCACAGTACACATTTATGCACAGAATACACCATCAAAATATTAAAAGACAATTTTAATAGAGAAGAGATTTACAAGAAAAACCAGGATGGTGCAACTATTTAACACATACTTTCCATGGCTGATAATTACACATAGTAATTTTTTTTTTTTACTATATAAATAAGAACGAAGTAGATGGGAACATCAGAAACGACAAACATTGACACTGCACCCAACGTGTCAGGAGGTACTGAATAGTTAATTTTATTTACCACAAAAATATACCCATTCCACAGCAACAGTGAAAGTCGTCTGATAACACATGACTAACCCCAACCCCATCTGGAGCACTATCTTTGCCAAACAAAAGCTATCTCACTCAAGAGGCAAAGCTGTCCTCTCAGAGGAACAAACTTCAGTTCATGTTGAATGGCACAGACACACAAATGCTAACTGCATCTACACTCAGCATGGGGCCCTGGGCAGCAGTTTGACTCCTCACATTTCCTTCAACTTTAGGACTGAAGCTAGCTTTGCTTGAGGACATTAAAATACTTTTAGTGAAGAAAGTATGCTTTTTTTAAAAAAAAAAATACATTTCTTTAAGGTCTTCTTTCGCTTTCTTTCCTAGCAACCACAAGAATAACTGGAGCCAAATTTCCTTATGATAGAATTAAGTTTGCTAAAGAAGAAGGCATATATGCCAACAAGACTTGGAACACAAGTAGCATATTCATTCAGAAAATGACAGAGTATGCCTGGAAGTGTATCCCAAGGGGAACTCCACATTATCACTGCTGTAATCTTCAAACCACATAAATATTCATCCTTATGTTCTTGATTTTAGAAACCTGAAATCAGATTCAGTGGGCTAAAACCAAATCAAATCTCACACACACATACATGTGTATATCTATACATATGTATACACAGACTTACATATATGTGATTATATATTAGATTTTTAAGTATTTGAAAGGCAGTGTTAGAAAGAGGAGAAGAGAGAGATTGCTTTTCTATCTGCTAGTTCACTCCATGGTGGGCCAGGCTGAAACCAGGAGGCAGGAACTTCATCAAGGACTCCATGTGGTTATAAGCCTAGGGACTTTGGCCATTTTCTGATGCTTTTCCTTCGCACTTTAGCAGGGAACAGGATCAGAAAGAGAGCATCCAGTACTTTAACTGACACCCATATGGGATGTTAGTGCTTCAGGTGATGCACCACAGCACCAGCCTCACCCTTGACAATACTGATGCAGTCTGTTTGTTCAGGGATTCCTGTATCCTTGTTATTTTTTAGCAGGTTGTAGTGCCAGAAACTGCTCTAAAGTGTGTGTTGGCTTCAGATTTCTGTTTGACTCATATGAAGACAATGGGACACTAAAAAGCTCTGTAGCAGAGAAAGACAAAGTACAGAGAATCTGGCAAATCTACTTTTACGTATTTGTACTTCCCCATCTTTCCATCCTAAGTGGGATTATGAGCTCATAGGTCCCAGAATAGGGCTTTTGAGGATGTTAAATATCTTCCACTAACTTAAAAAACGAAATTGTGTTATTCAAATTTTGTATTTCTTAGGCCAATAAGAAAAGGAAGGAGTTATCAGACTTTCAGGGATATTTGACCTTGCTAGGAACCTAGCACTGTAACAAATGAGGAAAATCAACACTGCTTAACTCTATTTTCTAATTAAGTATAAAAGTGGAATAGACTAATTTATGGTAATGGAAATACATGTACCATTCACGCTGAGTAGGAAAATATCTGTGGAAAATATTGCTCCAATTCTCAATCCAAGTGACAGCTATCCAAGCCTAATGGTTTTGTGAGTAATCATTCAAGCTATACATGCAGGGGACATTCGGCATTTATATGTTAAAGGCCACTTATTACATATTTACTCTAAAAACTCACCCAGGGCAAAGCCTACTTAGCAACAATGACTTTGCTCCATGTGTCTCACACACTACTATTCTTCTGTATGTTTCTCTGTTATCCTTTATAAAAACACAACCAAATCAAAATATATATTCTGTTTCTTTCCCTTGTTAAATGCACCAAGCATATAATTTGTGTTATGACTTTCTTCAATTACCACCATTATTTGTGGTGTGACAAAAGCAGCGTGTAGGTAGCTTCTGTATTGTTTAAAACAGCTGCACAGCTTCCCATTGGATCCTATACTGAAGTATATTTAAGCACTCATCTTAGGCACTCGCTCTTTTTTCCATTAATTCTTTGCTATGACAAATAATATTTTAACAAAGTTTTAACATGTGTACAAAAATTGGTTGAATAACTTTAAAGATTGGGCATAAGTTCAATTGTAGTTCAAAGCCCCCTAATACATTTGATAATTCTCTGTTTTGGAGGTGAGTACAAAAGTACTAAAAAAAAAGACAGCAGAATTTTGGATGTCCAAACTACAAAAAAAATTGTTTAACAAATAGCATTTCATTGAAAGCAAACAGAATCAGCTTATCTATTTTTGGTTCTTTTTACCACTGTAGCCCATATACTATTAAACTATATTACTTCCTTAATATTTTGATGTTAAATTTTAATAGCAACACTAAATTCAGCACTGAATGATGCACGTGTAGACTGTCTAAGAGCAAGTGATATATACTTCCTAAAATCAAAATCCGCAGGATACAAAATGTTGCACTTTGCTAGGTGTGCTGAAATGGTGACCATTTCAATTAAGAGTGTTGTGACACACTGTTCAATATAGCACTATCACTCACCATGAATGCTCACTTACCAGGGTACCTGTACTGAACAGAGTCACAAGTCCAATGAAACACTTGAACCAACTGTTTTCAACTATCTTGCAGCAAGTTTTCCTTAGGTTCTGCCAAATTCTGCCTTTCCTGGAGAGTCTACTGATTTGGCCAAGGGAAGACCTTTGTCTGCAACCTGACAAGAATAAAATCAATATGAACTGATATCTAGAAAATTGACTAAGAAATCAATATGTCAAACTTTATAACATGTTCTTCCACAATTATTTATCTACAGATTCTAATAAGTGATCTCTGATTAGCAAACACTGGAGATTTTTTTCTCCTGTGACCACGCGATCACTATGGAGAAACTGGGGGTTTTGTAGAAAAGGAGGAAACAGTCTTAGAACATCAATTCCACTGAGCAATATCCTGAGACTAAAATTTATCCTCCATCCCTACAGGAATAAAAAAGGTGCCCACATAACATTTTCTGATTGTAACATTTTGGTAGAGTACATGAACATTAACCCAGAAAATGTACATGACTTGGTGAGCATTCCTACTTTAAAAAAAAAACACTCATAAGATGTTAAAGAGCTGAAATCTAAATTAAGCCAATTGGATTGCTCTGACTTCATTCCTGTGGTGGCAGGGAAGCGGCACTTCTGACTGAGACTAATAAAGGAGGCATCCTGAACTGTGAAGTACTTTCATATGGGGCTGAACTCTATCTCTGGTCAAGAAGATTGGCAAATGATAAGGCTTCAAAATCATATGACAAGCAGGCAAACTATGAGGAGCAGGAGGAGAAGGAGAAAGAGGCAGGGCAATGGTAGAAGAGGAGGTGGTTGTAGAGGAGAAATTGAGCTAATGGAATTTAAGGTCCAATTTTTAGATTTTTCATTTTAGAATTCTGCCTAGTGTTAAATTTTACATCTCTAATCTGAAAAATATGAATGTGATTCTGTTCTTATCTTAGAGGATGCAGAAGTCCTGAAGGTAGACTACTAAGAAAAATTTCTTATTCTGAATTTGAGTACTCAACAATTACCATTTTGATCTTTTTCCTGTGGTTCTAAGTGATCAAATCTATAGTCATGTCTTAATCTTACAAAGAAACCAACTTCAATTATAAGTCAGAGATGCAGGTTTTGCCTCTCTAATGTATAAGGCAACTGAGTGAAGTCATATACATTCCTAAACATTCACATGGAATGTATTAACATGTTACCAGCACAGATTGTTTTCCTAGGAAAATGTTAGGAAGTGTATTAAGGGTATTTTAAATATTGATCCCAATTTGTTAAGTCTAAATACACTGTATTTCATTTCTAGACACACACAATGTGGATTTTTTTTTTAAATTTTATTGTTGTTTACATTGTGGTGCAGTTTTATAGGCGCTGGGGATTCCCCCCTCCCCTCCCATACCCCTCCCCCCATGGTGGATTCCTCCACCTTGTTGCATAACCATAGTTCAAGTTCAGTTGAGATTCATTCCTTGCAAACACATGCCTAGCATAAAGTCCAGCGTCTTATTGTCCAGATAAGTTCAGTGGCCTCTTGGGGAGACCTTCTCTGGTCTGAAGGTAGGGCTAACAGAGTAAAGATCCGGTCAGTTAAAAGCCCCAACAAGACTTCAGTATCAATATACAACATTATGGAATTAATTGAATGACATAGTATTGGGTAAACAATATGTTAAAAATAATGCAAGTTCCATTCTTCGAAACATCTGGGTTGAGACAGTATCAATGACAGGTTCAAAAAATAACAAACAACCAAACAAAAAATTACAGGTTAAATCAAGGCAAACTTTGATCCTGATTTAACAATATTTTGTTTTACTCCTAAATCACACTTTTAACAAAATATGAACATAATATAAGATTACACAATATTTTCTTATAGAATGAAAAGTATGTTTTGGGATCAATGCAGCTTTTACCTAGACTACAGACTGTTCCACTTAGACAACATTTACATTAACTTTATCAATCAAAATCTGAGTTTATTTAATGAAGTGTGATAATATCAACAGTATTATTTTAGGATATACTTTTTGGCGAGGTTATCTTTCTAAGATCACACACACACATTTACATACACACTAGTTTAATTTTTTCCTATAATCTTACAAGGTTTATCCTGGATTCTTCTGTTGGGTATCTGAATCAAAGAGGATGATTAGTGGTGTAAGGGAGGATAACTCAGCCTGGCTGATACCAGTGAACTATTCTGGCTACTGTAATAGGCTATGGGACATAGGCCCTTTCTGTCTTTTCCTGGGGAATACTGACACTGCTTTAAGTGTCTTTGAGGAGAGACGTGTATGCCTACATGCAGTGTGTGTATTCATTAGTCAAACATTTAAAAATCTAAGAACATTATTTAGATTCATGGAAATTTTGTCTGATTTCAGCAATATTTACCAAAGACTTTTTTTCTTACCATTTTTTAGATGCTTTGCCTTCTCACGTTCATAGCACATTTCTTCTTCCTCAGAGATGGCAATATCCACTGTACTGCATTCAGATGAGCTAGACTGCTTTAATTTCTAAAATGTTAGTTCCCATAAAAAGTTGTCATTAAAATACTAATATTTCTCACTGTAAGGTAAGTTCATTTCATTTTCAGAAGTAATATATTTAGGTATAAAAAGAACTACATCATGTCTAAAGGAACATTGGCCAATTCCATGGTTGAGCTGCAGTTCCAGAAAATTATTTTAAGGTCATTCCAAGTAAAATAACTGTGACTATAGCAATTATGAGCTGTAATCTAGTCTTACGTGTGCTGCTATAAGATGGAACTGACAATGCAGTTCTTTAGGTCTAGAACAAATCACAAGTTTAGGAAAGTGGTCCCAGTCCTACAGAAAGAAACTATATGGAAAACAACCACTTCTGTTTTTTGCCTCATACTGAAGTTCAAGGCTGGCTAGAAAGAGGTGGCCTTTGTATTTTATGTGTGGCAGTAATGTTAGTGTCATGCTTTTATTTTATCTAAATTTATGTTCTCAAAATGATTTATTTCACCTCACTGAGAAAAAAGGATATATTTTAAACCATCCTTTAAAATCATTAAGATTCCAAAATCTATAACAGCAATGTAATATTTTTGTTCAAAGGCATTTATTTATATGAATGAATAAAGTGAATGAACTTCATGACATGAAAGTTCTAACCCTCTATTCCTTAATTTTTCCTAATTTTTATACTACAGCTTATTCTCATTTCATTTCACAACCACAGACTTAACATTCAAGCCATAGCTAACTGAAAGGCCTACTGTTCTTCAGGAGTATGTTCAAAGGCTCTACACAATAATCAAATCCCAGATGCTAATCTCATTCACAGAGCAAACACGGTATTTATCTTTTTGGGCCTGGTTTATTTCACCAAATAGTATAGTTTCCAATTTCATACATTTAGTTGAAAAAGACAAGATTTGATTCTTTTAAAGGATGAGCAGTATTCCATTGTGTATATATGCTGTTTTCTAGCTCAAGCAAAATCAAAATAAATGTACTAAAATGTTTGGAAGAAAATCAGTAAATTTCTTTAAAAGGAAGGAAATATCTGTATAGAATTAAAAAGAGGCAACTGTAATTATTTTGTCAAATATTTTGGTATTATGCACAGTGAGTGTCAATGAAATATACTTGGGGTTCACTTTAGCATTACATAGTGAACTGTCATTAAGTCATCGTGCCAGAGATACTGAATACCTGGGAACAGACACTTCCTGCCATTCCCCTGATCTTGAGTGGTCTGTGAGGTTTGCACAATGAGATCCACAGCAGGAAGCTCACAGGCTGAATGGTCTCTGTAGGCTTAGCTCTCCATTAAATTACACTTCCCGCTGAGATGCTATGCTGCTTGCATAGCTTGCTTAAATGTGCTTCTCAACATCACATATTATCAGCTTATTAATTTATAAAATTTCAAACTAAGTATTTTATAAACTCCTACTATTTATTTAGCATTTTTCTACACAATGTTGAATTTTGATGTATTTTTAAGCTTCTATCCCCCCAAAGGAATTTTAATTCATTTATATACTAAAAGAGCAAAACTTAAACATCTTAATTAACTTTATCATAGGCACTCCACCAAAGCTAGAAGTAGCAGTTAGGACTAAATGCAGTTTCTGACTGAAATTGCAACCCTGAGTTAACTGTTCCTAAACAACACTATCAATCAACAACAAGTGATCAAGATACTAAACTCTCTTACCTCTTTGCTGTCTCCATCACCAGACTTGCTCTGAATTTCCTTATTATCTAGATTCTCTATATCCGATTCTCCGGAGGCAATCGGCACCGTTTCTGAGCCACTGGGACTGGGGATAAGTGACAGCTTCTCATTTTCAGTCATGGTGTTTCTCTCGGTGCCGTTACCTACTTCATTATCCTTGAGGACATCTTGAGAGTTGCTCAGGTCAGAGAGAGTATGATCAGAGATGTTCTCTGTAACATACACATCATTCACATGGTCCACCACCTCCTTTGGAGCACTTTGTTTTTTGCACAATATTTTGAGAAATACACAGCTTATTTTCGCCTTAAGCCTTGTTATTGCAAGTTGGAGATTTTTTGCTTCATTGCTCTCTTCAGCTTTCACAGCATTATAGGTGCCAAATGAGACCACTAATGCCAGAAACAAGTAAATTATCTAAAGGAGGAAGTGAAATGAAACTAAGTGAATACCACTTATATGTTTCTTTATTTTTTAAAAGATGTCTTTGTAAAATTTACCACAGATCTGAAAACAGAACACATGAAGAATTATAATGATATTCAGCTCTAATTAATTTATAATTTGTCAGGGAATTGCTAGGGGCTTTCATGGCCAGCAGTCAACTTTAGGCTCACCATGTCTCAAGCAGTATGACTTTTCTCTGTTCTAGAAATGGAAAGGTAAAGGCTTATTGAAGGTCAAACCAATTAGACTCAGGTTTCTCTTTTTCCAGAGTTTATTTTACTACTGTGTCAGGCTGTCTCACAGTTGGTAACAAAATGAAGTGCTGTGCCAGAAGGCAGACTTCACTTCAATTCTATCCTAGGAATGCAAATAGTGATTTGCAATAAAGTCCTTGCCTTGCAAGCAACAGGATCCCATAAGGGCACTAAACCCGAAGGCCCTGCTTCCCATCCAGCTCCCTGCTTGTAGCCTGGGAATGCAGTTGGGAATGGCCCAAAGCCTTGGAACCCTGCACTCACATGGGATTCCTGGAATAAGCTCCAGGCTTCTGGCTTCAGATGGGTGCAGGTCTGGCCATTGTGGCCGCTTTGGGAGTGAATCAGCAGACGAAAGATCTTCCTTTCTGTCTCTCCTCCTCTCTGACTTTACAATTAAGAAAAAAAATTCTTCAGCATTTGGATGTATGTGAAGAAGTCAGATTCTCATACATAAGCCATAGACCTCTTGGGAGCATTTGTATCATTTGTACCTTTTGCATTTGTATCATTCTCAGAAGACATGGGTCCCCAGCATAGGAAGGTGATACCAAATATAATTGAATTGGTAGTTCTTTTCCCTCTTTCAGTTAAGTATTACACAGTACAAAATAAGGAAAAGACTTTTTGTTAGTATCTTAAGCTTCATGGGAACAGGAACCAGGTTTTCCTCTTAATGAGGAAATATGCTGATATCTTTTTAGTGTTTATGATTTCTTATATCATACATACACACATGCATGTGTATACAGACACATAGTGGGCATTTTATAAGGCTGAAAATGAAGTTCATCTTAAAATGCACTGAGGTTACAGTAAACAAACACAAATAAACATAAAACCTTCAGAACATTGCAGAGTGCTACCAGTTTGCACAGTGACCTTTGAATTTTTAGAAAATAGTCAATTCCTTGAAGAACTAAAAAGGAAAATTAGGCTACATTAATGGCCAAAGCAATGAAGAATTGGTGTATTCTAATCTGAGCAATGAGAGGGGGGCAGGTAGGGTTAAAGAGTATCTTTCCTTTGGGGCCAGCCAATTATGAATTTCAAAACATAGATACTTCTATTTTCCTTTGAGAGCAAAGGCAAATTCATGTATCCTAAACATGACACTTGAGTTTCCCCTGAAACTGGTTTTTATCCTCTTCATGGTAAACCATTTATTAAATGAGAATTGAGCTTTCAAATCAAAATCAATTGGCATGAAAGAGACTGGAAGGCCATGATTTATCTAAGTGTCAATTTTCTGATGAGGAATTAGGAAATACATTTGCATTAGGAATTCAACATGAATAGAGTCATTTTCATGTATAATGCATAAAATGCATTAAAGTAAAGCAAAGCGAAGTTCAAAAGTAAAGTAGAAATACTGACATATTTTACACAAAATATATAATATTAATATAGATGTTAAGTGTGTTAAAAGTATATATAATATCTGTGCCACAGTATTTCAGCTTCCTTGCTTTTGGATTTTATGTGTGTTGTTTTTCTTTCTGTTGTTGCTTTCCTCAGCAGCCACAGACTTTCCTTTTAGAGACAGAATTCTGTAGTCTATTTGGTAAGCCACCATTACTCTATGATTATTCACATGGATTAGATTTGGACTAGTGCCATCTCTAGCTCCAAGGAAACAGAGAGTGGCTTAGAAATGGGCCCATGATTCAGAACTGACGATTAAATATAAAAATATGCTGTGGCTTCTAGGAAGGATATTCTGTATACATATGATTAGGAGACTACTGACTGCAGCAGTCATCTTAACAAAAGAGAACAACCTGAAAGGAGTACCAAGATGAAGCTGAAATGTGCAAAGACCTGTCTCTAATGATTGTATTTGGATGCCAGTATTGTTTCACAAATTAAGGTTTATGATATTTTGAGTTATGTGTGCAAATAATATGGTCATTTTTATACTGCTTTATGCCACTGGGAGTTGAACATGCATTGATGACTGCAAATGACCAGGAGTGGTGAAGTAGTTTTAAATACTGGTTACTGCTTCAAGCTTTAAGATAATGGAAGAGTTAGTCATTTCCCTCATGGAGCTAACAGTTTAATGTGAAGATTGACAACTACAGCAACCATTAAATAAAATTCCAATGTGATAAATGAGTGATAGAGATATTTTCAAAATAACATAAAAGTATGAAAGAGGACACAAAGCTGAGTTTAACTTGGTGTTTGTGTTTTTGTGGTTTTTTTTCAGCCTTTTGGGAAATGTGCTTGATATTTATAACATATGACTAAAAGCCAAATATTGAATATTCCTGTAAGAACTGCCTTCTATCATAAATCATACCTTTTTTCTCAGAAGCATTAAAAGCTACTGACTCTGTTCATGTAATACCACTTTGGATATTAAGAAATTTAGATGTGGAAGCTTTCTTAGTAAATGCATAAAAACAGACTCATGTTTTCCAGTTTCTGCCTCACAGTTTAATCAAGTGCAATTTTTTAGATGATCCTGATGACCAGACAATAACAATGAAATCAGAATCTCTGGGACTAAATCCAAGATATGTTTTAACTAAATCCCCAGGGAATTCTGATGTACGGGCTATTTTGACAACCAGTGTTACACTTAAGTGCTTCTTAAAATTTAATGTGCACACAGTTACCTGGGGATGTTGTTACAATGTAGATGATGTTTCCTTGGGTCTAAGATGGTATCTGAATGTCTGCATTTCTAACCAGCTCTGTGGGATGCCAATTCTACTTTAGTCACAAGATTACACACTAGTGCTTTTTAGTTGACATATGATGCAAGTCACATGGTCTAATTTAAAATTTTCCATTAGCCACGTTAAGATCATATGAAAATAAATTAATTTTACTAATGTGTTTAACTACATATGTACATTGAAGTGTAATAATTATATTTTACTAAGTATTCCATACAAAATTGTTTCTGAAATTTTTATATCAATTTTCAGGTAACACTACAAATTTAGTGTGATTTGACATTTGTAACAAATTGAACCAATCGTGTTTCAATGGTAACATCCACATGTGGCTAGGTGATTCCTAAATCACCATATTGGATTGCAGGACTCTCATCAATTCACATTATGAAAATGCCAGACTACATTGTATCAAGCTTTCCAAGGGAAATATGAAAGCAAGAGCTACTTACCAGAAAATTTCCTATTAAGATAACCATCATATAAAACAAAACACACTGAGGTTGGCCTGCTACCTCCATGCAGTCCCATAAGGTCTCTATCCACTCTCCACAGAGAATTCGGAACACGTTCATGCAGGAGTGGAAGAAGTCACACATGTGCCAGCGTGGGAGTTGAAAGTCACTGTCTGTATGAGACAGATGTTGTTTGTAACTTCTACCAAACAACTTCATGCCAAACACAGAAGAGAAAAAGATGAATGTGAACAACAGTAGAATCACATCTTTCAGGGCCTCCAAGGAGTTGCCAAGTGTCAGCACCAGGATCTCGAAAGTGGGCCAGTATTTTCCCAACTTGAAAATTCGCAACTAATGGAAACAAACAAGAAACACAAGCACAAGAAAAACAAGCAGAAAAATCTGCTCAGTACATATCATAATGTACAGTACTTATTACAATTTACAATTAAAATTTTGACAGCATTACATATATGCACATAAATGGCCCTGAAAACAATATTTTGAAGTACTACAAATATATTATGTGTTATTCTTAATATTCATAGTATGTTACATATTCTGTAGTTTTGTATGCTAACTCTATTCATAGTCTTTGCAGTCATCATATAACAGTAGACTTTTCTAAAGCCCACAAACCATTTTTCTGTGTACTATGACTTCTGATTTTCCATTGTATTTGATTAGCATTCAGGAATCAACAGTAAGATTTTACATGTGCTCAGGCGAAATTTAATCATCTGAGATTCAGTCTGTTCCTATTTTAATGTAATTTGATTACTTTAGCATATTTTATGCATTTACCTGTCTTGTCTCATCCATAAATTTGGTAATAATTGTTCATATATTTGTCTTATTCATTAGAAAGGTTAGTGTTGATGAATGTTGATGAACAATCTTTTTTCAAGGAAGAAGCACCAGTGCACTTTTAGAAAGGAAAGATTAGTCTACTAAAATCTTGATTTTTTTTTAAGATTTATTTATTTATTGGAAAGTCAGATATACAGAGAGGAGGAGAGACAGAGAGGAAGATCTTCCGTCCAATGATTCACTCCCCATGTGACTGCAACGGCCAGTGCTATGCTGATCCGAAGCCAGGAGCCAGGAACCTCTTCCAGGTATTCCACACGGGTGCAGGGTCCCAAAGCTTTGGGCCATCCTCGTCTGCCTTCCCAGGCCACAGGCAAGAAGCTGGATGGAAAGTGGAGCCGCTGGGACCAGAACCGGCGCCCACATGGGATCCCAGGGTGTTCAAGGTGAGGACTTTAGCCGCTAGGCCACGCCGCTGGGCCCTAAAATCTTGATCTTTACTATGCTTAGTCAACTTGTCACCAGAACGCAACAATATATTACCTATCAAACAGTTAACATTTCCACAAAATATCATTCTAGTTAATCCAATTTCCTTTTCTAAATCCACACTATAGGCATGCACTGATTTAGAGCTAATAATTTTTTCACATATCCACCTATGTATGTGTGCCAAAATGTGCAAAAATTGAATTAAAAGCTTATATTGGGGCTGGTGTGATGGTGTCAACATGCCAATCTTCTGCCTATGCCACCAGCATCCCATATGGGTATCAGCTATGGCCCCTCTAATTATTTGGGGAGTGAACCAATGGATGGAAGATTTTTTTCTCTTTTTCTCTTTGTAAATCTGCTTTTCAAATAAAAATAAATCTTTTAAAAATAAAGATTGCCTTATTTTGATCCAAAATCTTAACTATTTTGAGCAGATGTTTTATTGTACATATTTTTCATGAAGGATCTGAAGATATATGCATGAATTTCACAACAAATTTATAAAAACAATATGCTAACCTAATATTTTTAAGTAAAATTTTCTTACATTTAGAATTATTCACTTGACTTCTGATACCAATATCTAGTCATATATTAGTATTAGACTTCTGGAACACTTTACTAATCTTTCCATACCAAAGGTTACACAGGCTCTAGCTCTTAGAATTACATGTCTCAAATTTATCTCACATATTAAATTGTTTCACTTAATATTTGGGTCCAATAACAGCACTGAAGCCTCTCTGTTCTCACTTGCGGGAGGGGGGCACTTTAGCTCTTTTATTATGAAGGAGTTCACTTAGTACTCTCAATTGTCCCAATGGGATAAGTACTACTGTCATCGCCCTTTAGGTCTGAGGAAACTGGGACAAATTTGATCAGTTATAAATTGGGTATTAAATTCTACTTACCATCCTGAATGATTGGAAAAGAGCCATTCCTTCAACATTTGCTAGATAAAGTTCGACTAATCCAAGGAGCACAATTATGCTATCAAAAATGTTCCAGCCTACTTGGAAATATCCATACGGATGCATGGCAATTATTTTAAAAATCATTTCTATTGTAAAAATTGCAATTATAACCTAAATTAAAATAAAACAAGTCAATGAGAACAAGATCCCCAAACCTCTATTAGAACATACATACATATAGGATCATAATCCTATTTTTTCACATATTCTGCATACAGCTCCTCTGTCAAGATCTAAAATTTAGCTACATGTGGAGTCTGCTTACAATGATAGATTCATATATTTTATTTAACAATCTAATACTGAATACTTTTTCCAGAATTTTCAATTATTTTATTTTTTTAATTTATTTATTTTTTATTTTTTATTTTTTTTATTATGTGACATGGTTTTATAGGTACTGGGATTCCCACCACCCCTCCCATAACCCTCCCCTCATGGTGGATTCCTCCACCGTGTTGCGTGACCACAGTTCAAGTTCAGTTGAGATTCCTTCATTGCAAACATATACCAAGCATAGAGTCCAGCATCTTGTTGTCCAGATAAGTTCAACGGCTTTTTGGAGAGACCTTCTCTGGTCTGAAGTTAGAGCCAACAGAGTAAAAACCCAATCAATCAAAAGCCCCAAAATTGACATTTCCACAATTGAGGTGCATTATAGGAGGGGTGTGCAGAGAAATCTTTGGTACCTTGGTGAGGAGTACTTGCTCTGTGTCCTGCCTAGCAAAGTATGTGTGAGTCCATGCTGACCAAGCTTTCCTTGTTGTTCTCTGTTTATCTATTCTAATGTGTGTGTGTGTGTGTGTGTGTGTGTGTGTGTGTGTGTGTGTGTGTGTGTGTGTGTTTGGAGGGGGGCTCTGGAGCAACCCTGACGAAAATATGGAACGCTTCACAAATTTGCGTGTCATCCTTGCGCAGGGGCCATGCTAATTTTCTCTGTATTGTTCCAATTTTAGTATATGTGCTGCTGAAGCGAGCACTTCAATTATTTTAGTAAATGCTCTTCGACGAAAACCAAGAAGTATTTGAGGGTGAAATGTTTCCATTTTAAATAGTTACTCATGCGATGCGGAGTTTATGTTACATATTTCCTTTTCAATTTAAAAATCATAAAAATGTATTATACACATGCACTCATGCCATTTTTACTATAGGTATAAATTATGACATAAATACATGATCCAGAAAGAAAACAGGATAAACCTTTGGAAATTATACTTTAAAAATTGTACTGTTAAAAATAACCAAATTACTACTTTGGTAATAAGTTCCCTGCATTAATACCAAGTGATTAAACAAAAACAATAAAGAAAGCAAAGAAAACTAATACAACATATATTTTGTGACAAATGTGACTTTTTAAAAACATAGAATTCTGTTTTGTCTTTTGAATTGTATGTAGAAAAGGACAAATGAATCTCAAAATATAAATAGCCAAAATGATAAGATTTGATTTAAGAGAGAGAGAGAGAGACAGACAGACAGACAGAAGCATACAGGCCAGGCTCCATTCTAATCAGGATTCAGAAACCTGGAGCCGGCAAAAATCTGTGCCTTCTCATTTTTACCTCTACCCCTACTTTGATCTTTGGAACAGTGGTACCAAGAGAATATACATTTGGAAAAGAAAAGACAATGACAAATTTGCACTTAACTGCTACATAGATGGCTGGAAATCATAAATTTGTATGGTAGAATTTTTATGTCCAGCTGTCAAAACATTCAGTGATAAGTATGGACTGGGGGCATGTGAAAAATACCTTTTCTGATAATTATACATTCTGCAATGTATTGAAGCTAGAAAATAAAGAGAAAAACTGACATTATAAACAAAACTAATGTGCAAGGAGAGTCTTACCAGGTTTCCAAGGCTGAGAAGCTGGCTGATTCCTTCACTCATTGGATAATGTTCCAAGGCCAAAAAATATATACTTAAAATGATGCACATGGTTAAGAAAAGATCAGTAAATGGGTCTGTTATAACTTTGTGGAAAATCTCTTGCAGTTTTAACCAACAGGGAGAACAATTCCATATCAAGAAAGTTCTAGCAAACTTATACCAGCACAATGGGCATAACTTCTTGGAATTTCCAAGTTCTAAAATGAAAGAACAGAAAAACCATAGAAGCATTTACTCTGATTTTAGTAAAAATTTTGAGCTTTGCATGCAGAGAGAGGGATTTGGAACTAGATTTATTTGATATGAGGAAATGGAAATATTGCATACTAATAAAAACTGTGATACGAATTTTCCACATTTCATTTAGACAAATAAAAAATTAGGAAAAACAGAACTAACACTCAAGGAGACAAACAAAACTACTGAATACATAATCACTTACAGTATCCAGATTATTTTTTACAAAATAATGCCTTTTAGCAATGTCAGTTAAAGAATTACTAATAACATGTTATAAAGAATAAAGTAGAAATAATTTACTACTAAAATACTAATTCTACTGAAATATTAATTACTACTGAAATAATTCTACTGAAATATTACTGCATCATGCTCCCATTTGTATTTTAAAGTTACTTATTAATACATCAATATTTTAATATTAAAGGAAATTTCTTGAAACATTTTAGTGCCTTTTTGAAATGTTTAAAACATGTTTTTAAATGTCTTTTACTATTCATTCTAATATCCTCTAATACTCCTTAAATTTGAGTTATAACTATTTAAGACTCTAAAGATATTGCAGAATTTCTTTAAAAGTTAATCTTCCGGGCCCGGCGCGGTGGCGCAAGTGGTTAAGTCCTCGCCTTGCACGCCCAGGATCCCATATGGGCGCCGGTTCTAGTCCCGGCAGCCCCGCTTCCCTTCCAGCTCCCTGCTTGTGGCCTGGGAAAGCAGTCGAGGACAGCCCAAAGCTTTGGGACCCTGCACCCGTGTGGGAGACCCGGAAGAGGCTCCTGGCTTCGGATCGGCATAGTATCGGCCCGTTGCGCTCACTTGGGGAGTGAATCATTGGATGGAAGATCTTCCTCTCTGTCTCTCCTCTCTGTATATCCGCCTTTCCAATGAAAAAATAATAAAAATAAATCTTTAAAAAAAAAAAAAAAGTTAATCTTCCATGAATAGACCTTCTCTCAGTGAATGTATACTTTTTCCTTACCTTCTTTTTGTCTGAAAGTAGGATCTTCCAGTATACCCAAAGATGTGTTCATAGAAGCTGATGATCTAGTCTTCATTTCTATGTGTGTGGTCTGAAAAAGCATTTCATTAGTTAATTCTGCCTTTTTATCTTTGTAGATCTAACACTATAATGGTGAATTGGCTAACCTTACTTAAAATTCTGATTCTTGCCTTTAGAAGTGTTTTAAATTTCTATCATTTATCAGTATTTATATTTTAGGCAATATTAAACTGATTTAGGATCACAATAGTCATACTTGAAAAAAGTGTACACTTGAAATTCAATAAAAGCATATTGTAGAGCCAATTAAAAGAGAAGTAGAAATAAGGCAGTGATATTAAAATATATTTGGCCAAAATTTCTAAATACAGTTTGGATCACTGTGACATGCTGAGTTTGGCAAAAATGTCACTGACTAATAAAAGAGTATTTCTCTAGCATCTTATATTTTTTCCTTAAGAATGTTAACTTTCTAACTTCACAAACTATATTGATATAACTAAAATGACTTGATTTTGTGATGATGGAATAAGCCCTAAATTAAAAATAAACAATGGCTATTTTAATTTTAGTATTTAGCAGTTCATAGCGTTGAAGCATGATTTTGCAGAACCTGGCTGTTTTTCGGGCAGTCTAACTCTATAACTGTAACAAGACATATGTCAACAGTTTAGGTGAACAGTTTTAGGCGGGATGTGCAGAGAAATCTTCAATACCCTAGTGAGGAGTAACTAATCTTCGTGTCCCACCCATTGAGTTATAAGTACATCCCCACTGCCCATTTCCTGTTTCTAAGCTTTCCTTGCTGTTCTCCATGTATTCTAGGTTTTTGTTTGTTTCCTAGTTTGTTTGTTTGCTAGTTTGTTTTGAGGGGTTTCTGGAGTGATCCTGATCATCATTACGAGAGAGAGTGGGGACCCAAAGTCGGCACAAGGCAAGAACCAGAGAAAGCTCCTCTCCCTAGTCCCGAAGGAAGTTTACTGTTTTGTTTCTGCGGACCGCTCAGTGCTCCTGGTTGCTCCGATGACCTTGGGTCCTGCAAGGCGGGGTATGCGCTTCTTCCATCTCATGAGGGAGAGCCAAATGGAGGTGGGTGACCTCAGAGTTCTCAGCCTCTGCCCTCCGAAGGCACTCCTATTCCCCGTGGTCTCCTTGGCGGTTGGGATGTAGTCCTTGGAGCTCGCACTAGGAGTCTTCAGGGTTGGGATACAAGCCTCCTCCTGTCTGCCTGCTCCACTCTGGGGTCCCCCCCTGCTCTGCGCATATGACCTCACGAGACAGCTGAACAGTAATTTATAGCCGTTTTAAGGTGTATAGAACCCAGCTGTATATAAACTAATAATTGTAATGTCAATGTAGAAGTAATAGGATGTGGTTCAGAACTTGCACTCTTTTTTTTTTTTTTCCTCTCTCTCTTTTAACATGCTGGTTACACAATACCATGTCAACTAATTGCATTATGTTATAAATTGTTACTGATGTAATGTCGGGGCTTTTAATTGATTGGGATGATACTCTGTTGGCTCTACCTTCAGACCAGACAGGGTCTCCCCATGAAACTGTTGAACTTATCTGGACAATAAGATGCTGGATGGACTCTATGCTTTGTAGATGCTTGCAAGGAAAGAATATCAACTGAATTTGACCTGTGGTAATGCAACAAGATGGAAGAATCCACCATGAGGGGGGGCGGGTTTTGGGGAGAGGAGGGGGGAATCCCAGTGCCTGTAAAACAGTGTCACATAGTGCAATGTAATCAATAAAAATAAATTAAAAAAATAAGAAAAATAAAAAAATAAGCAATGGGATAGATTTAAAAGCTTTGGCTTGAGTGGAAATGACATAATGACATACAGGAATCACTTATTTTTGTTCCTTGTGTCTCTTGAGTAATGATTTTAAGTGGTTCACTGCTTTGTTGAAGTTTTTAACAGGGTTGAAAAAAATCTTACTTTGGAAAGGCGTCTGAGATGTTTGGACTTTAATATAAATGTTACAAGGTCTATGCAGTCATAAACGACACAAAAATAGTCAGATGCTCCTTGTGATCATATTTAATAGTATATTTTAATTCAAGCCCTAAGGATATGATGATGGATGATAATCACATTATAGTGGTTCACAATAGGTTTTATATTTGGCACACACTAATGATCAAAATAATGGCATACTTGTTACCTGGATCTAAACAGATGAGATCACTCTTCAACAGGGTTACATGGCATGGAGGCCCTCACTGCCTTCCAAAGGGGAGGTTGTTGCTTAAGATTCATGGACTACACATACCCTGCACACTGTGACTAGCAAGTGCTGTGGTGACATATCTAAAGTGTCCTAACAGATACCCAAGGTTTGACTATGCTCATGACACTCACACATCAATCAAGTACTCTCTGGTTTCATAAATACCAGTCACACCACATTCTGAGTTTCATCTCAGAATGTGCAGTTCAGAGTCTGCAGGTCCACCGAGTCCTGCTCTTTAGCTTTTTTAAAAATTCAAAAGGAAAGCTAAATCTTGGGAAGCAAGAATTGTTTATTTAAATCACACTTGCAAGTATTTTACAGGCAACTCTTTAGAAAGTTACACGAAACGGAATTAATAATTCATGCCTTTCCAAAATTTTTATGAACAAATAATAACAGAAGTGAAAGACTTTATTAAGATGCAGCAGTGTATATCCAAAAAAAAAAAAACCGATAATAGTGATACAGAAACCAACACCCTCAAATGTATCCTGAATATACAGACATTGCTTGTTATAAAGCTATTATACTTAGTGATAATTGGAATTTCACCAAAGACCAAGTCAATAAAGATAATCATTCAAGTACTTCATAAGAGGAAATAGAATGTCTCGCCATGAGAGAAGAGAAGTACTGTGATGCTCTTGGACGTATTTGTGAGCCCTTGAGAATCTGAAGTGCCACTTCAGAACAAACTACATATTCAACATATCTAATTCTAGTCTTCATCTCAAGGACTTCGGGGTCATTTCTAGAGATGGAAAGCTTTCGTAAATTGCTTTCCTGTGACTTGCTAATAGGTGATACAATGGTTATTCAATAGCATCTTTTCCATATGTGTTTTCTTCATATGGACTTAGATACTTCTTATACAGTGGTATACCTGTTATGGGCACAAGTAGCTATCAACCCATATGGTAGGATCCAACATCACATTATTAGACCCCATTTTTTCATTCAAGGACCTTCTTGGTGTTTTTTCTTGATGATTCCTTAATATAAGTCATGATGTCTTAATATATGATGTCCTATTATAATGTAAGACTCTTCATCTATCTCCTTGAGAGAGAGCAAGGAAAACATTCCATCCTCTGGTTCATGATCCAAATCCTTGCAATGCTCAGGATGCAAATCCTAAAGCTAGAAACTCAATCCAGTTCTCCCTTTTGAGTTTCAGGAATGCAACTACTTGTATTATATGCTTTCTTCTATGATTTGAATTAGCAGGAATCTGGAATAAGAGGCCAGAGTCAAGAATGTAGCCCAGGCACTCTAAAGTGGGACATGAACATTTTCATCAGCATCTTAACCACAAGACCATGTAACTTGCTCCTTTTTATCTTATCCCTCAATCTAGATTATTTTCCCATATATCAGAAAAAATAATTTAAGGAAGAGTTAAGATTGTCTTTAGGATTTAAGATTGTTTGTTTTTAGGATTTAAGAAAGCACTACTGCTGCTTTCTTGACCCTATTTTTCCTTCTGGTACACTTATGGCACAATTTGGCATTTAAAATAATTTTAAACAACTTCTTCAGTGCTACTTGGGGCAACACGTTCAGACTTAGACGGAATTTTCTGCCATGAGACCAATGATATGATACAGTATGCATGCACACAACAACAAGGCAATTGAAATCACCATTAAGTTTTATTAGATTTTACTAATTATGTATCTAGTTATTCTATGATTAAATTAACCCCTACACCAAGGTGCAGCACATTTCATTAAAAAAAAAAAAAAAACCAAGGCCCAGAGTGGTGGCCTAGCAATTAAAGTTCTCACCTTGAACACGCCTGGATCACATATGGGCCCCAGATCTAATCCTGAGATCCCTGCTTTCCATCCAGCTCCCTGCTTGTGGCCTGGGAAAGCAATCAAGGATGACCCAAAGCTTTGGGATCCTGCACCTGCATGGGAGACCTGGAAGAAGTTTCTGGCTCCTGGCTTCAGATTGGCACACCTCTGGCTATTGTGGTCATTTGAAGAGTGAATCAGCAAATGGAGGAACTTCCTCCCTGTCTCTCTTCTCTGTGTATCTGACTTTGCAATAAAAATAAATATTTTTTAAAAATCAGAAAGCCAATAATGTGAGGTTTTCTTTTCACAACCTTGATGATTTCTCTTTTTAATTTTACTTTTATTTGAAGGGCAGATTTATAGAAAGGAGAGACAGACAGAAATGTTCCACCAGCTGGTTCACTCCCATGGTCGCAATGGCCAAAGCTAAACCAATCCAAATTCAGGAGCTTCTGGGACTCCCATGTAGGTACACGTGCCCAAAAATTTGTTCCATATGCTACAGCTTTCCTGAACCATAAGAAGGGAGCTGGAGCAGAACCAGGACACAAACCAGCACTCTAGGCATGCCAGTAGCATAGCCTGAAGTTTGACCTACTATTCCATGGCATTGGCCCCTACTCCTCAAAATTTTCTAAAGTGGGGAAGGAATGAGCATATTTAAGTGGCACACAAGTTCCATAATTAGTTCTGGTGTGCTGTTTGAAGTAGCTTTAAATGAACAGACTATGCCTGTAATAAAAACAGTCAAGTTCCAAAAATATACACTTCAGGTAATCCTACAGTTTATCAGAGCAATTACATTTTTTTAAACATGAAATTGCATTTTTGGGGGCATCTTCTAGGATGTCATTTACTCTTGCCACTGTGCTCTAAGGAAGAAAATATATATAGCAAAAGTGAAACTCCTCTTGCATAAAGTGTTTCTTACTCCACCAAAAACAATTCATATATCAAAAAGCAACACACTCCAGGACATGACATTTTTAGCACTTTGGTTTTAAGAATTAAAAAAAAAAAAACTGTACCTGTGTTACCTCATCTCTTTCTTGCAGTTCCATTACACTCTGTTTAAATGTTGATATAATGTTCTTGGGTTTTTCGGAAGCTGCTTGCTTTTCTTCTTCATAGGCCACAGCAATTATGCTTAAGAACAAACTTGCCATATAAAAGGCAAACCAAAAGCTTACCAAAACAAAAAAGATCATATAGACCTTCCCAGAAGCATAAAGAATCTAAGAGGAGGAGAAAACAAAAACAAAAGATGAAAATGTTATTTACCATCTTATGGTGCATTTTAAAAATAAAGAATTAAATTAAATTCTGAAAACATTTAGCAATAAGTAAAACAATCACAAAACAACTTAAGTACTAGTTCTACCTGACCTACAAATGAGTATCTTTAATTTTAGACATACATATATATGTCAATACTATATATATATATAATACACACACACAATATAGTACTATATATATAGTATTGAACATATACTACAAAACCAGATTATGTCATTCAATTCACATGGATGACCATGTGTCTTTAAAACAATAATAGAGAAAACATATTGAGAGGAAAACTATTACCTTTTGATAAAAAAATTACGTGGTTCAAATAAAGAAATTTCTTATCTTTGCATTTGGATTTTTAAATTCATGCCATTTACTCTTATTTGAGAAAATTTTCAGATTGTTTCCTCTGATCATTAATTTATGGTAAAGTCATAATGTGGTGCAAGATCAGATTGGCATAAGAGGAGGCAAGCAGATATTTGCTTTGGTGAAAAAATCTTTAGGTAAATTACATGGAAAAGGTATATAACCTAGATGAAGTCATTACAGTAGGAGTAGACAATATTTGAATGCAACACAAAAAGAAACACAAAAATAGATTTACCTAACTGAGTAAAAGTTATCTATGCTGATTATTCCAGTCAGGCAACAATTAAGGACTTAGTTACCTGTTTTTACTGCTGTACTGGTTGTTATTTACAATTATGCATTCAACAGTCAGAAATAAGTATTATAGAGGACCATGCAGAATATGTACATTTATAAATAGCCTTAATTTTCTCATTCTGTACAAAGTTAATGTAGTATTTAATGTACTACATACAAGAGAGAAAGCAAAAAATCACATAGGGGCAATTTCCCATAAGATCTCAAGTTTTATGTCTGAATCAGAACTTTCACTCTTTCTATAGATGATTACAGTAAATTAAAATGCATATAATACTAGCATGGTTAAATTATATACATCTCATGGTAGTACTGAAAAGTGTACATACTCTAATTTTGTGCTTCACAAATACAGTTTTGGCCCCTCAGATGAAACAGTGCATGTGGAATCTGTACAATAAATGTTGGTTATACTATTAAGTGCAACTCTTTGGTGAGATTTACATTGTTGGTTCACTTCTGTATATAGTATACTGAAGAATGCTTGGATCAAATATATTTTTACCTGAAAATGAAACACACTTTTCTCCAGAACATGAACTGCAGTCTTTAGGATGACTAATGACTTTTCATCAGTTCCACTTTGGTTCAGTTTACAACAAGGTTAAAAATCCAAAGCAAATACTACTTGTATCAATTACCTAAAAACTCATTTTGCAGTGATGAAAATCTGAAAAGAACTAACACTAGACACCTTTAGATTGGTCTCCTATTTCATTAGTAGAAGGGAAAAAAATTGCCTTTAAATAAATGTTACCAAAAAAATGCCGATGTTAAGTATTTGGGGGGTATAGAGAAAACCAACACCTTTATTGGGCTGTATAATGATATAATCCTTCAGTATGAATTGGTATGTCTTACTGAAACTTCTATGGGTCTTACTATCTTCACACAAAAAACACAGTTAATCCTGGTGGCTTTATGTCTCAATAAACCCATTTGTAGCTAAAAGGGTCATAAATAAAAATAAATTATCACACCTAATCTAGTGAAAAGCACAGCTGAGTAACACAGTGCACTGCAGAATATGGGTGATTTAAGCTGGGACCACCTGGCTGGGAGCTGCTTGTGAGTCTGTGCCAGTGAGTATAACAAGCGAGCATTACATTGCATACTGATACCCCAGGATGAGATCAAAATTCTAAATTAAACTGTGTTTTTGATGTGATGACTTCTCTTTTGTCACACAATAAAGTCAAAATGCTGTGAATCTGAAGCATTGTAACTTTGGGAGTGTATGTGTATGCGTATATGTGTACACACACATTACTTTCATCACTTCTAAGATTAAATAAAATACAAAAGCACAAACTTAGCAGTTATCTGCTGATAGTATAGCATTTACTAGTTTTGATTCTCTTCTTGTGCTTTCAAGTTCTCCTGCACATAAAACTTTAATGAAATGTATTACACTTGAGGATCATTTTGGAAGGGAAGTCACGGTGCCCTTCCCAAGTGTAGTGATGAATCTCCACATTCTTACCTGGTGATAAAGTGCTTCGGGGTAATCCTGCATCATCAACCGAAACAGAGCCAATAGGGCTGAGCCAAAATTGTCAAAATTAGTGAAGCCATGATCAGGATTAATGCCAGCTTTGACACACACATATCCTTCAGGGCACTGACTGAAAAAGCCAAAGAAAAGAGAAACTGCTCACTTTAGGGACTTTCAAATGATAGAAACCATAAATGTGGAACATCTGTCTATAAATAATAGAAGTTCCTCAGGGAGTAATATATCTTTCAAACACGTGGCTCATCTCCCACTGCCTTCTCAGGCCATATTAATAGCCCAAGGGGGATGTTGACATAGCAAGCAGTTGTTTAACTCTCTGTGCCACACCTCTGGCAAAATTCTTACATTGAAATTCTAACGTTCTCCAAGGTTATTGTATTATGAGACAAAAGTTTGGATCATGACAATGGAGACTTGCAAATATGATCACCACCCTTGCAGGAGAAGTTCAGGAGAGATTCCACATCCTTTAAGCATGGGAGGAAAGAGCAACATGGAGCTGATTAAGAGCCACTTGTGACCCCCTTCAGACACCACATTTATGGATAGCTTTTTGTTGGATTCTCAGCCTCCCAGCCTGAGAGAAATTCGTGTTGTTTGTAAGTCACTCAAACTATGCTATCTTATTACAACAGCCTGAATGGACCAAGATAACTTCTCACCATAGCTTTTATCATAAAATGAGATAATCAAGTAATGATGTACAGTAAGAGCTACAATCATTCAGCAAGTAGTATTGATTTGTGACATCACCTTGATGGAAAGCATTCTCTGCACTTACCCAGCATCTGTTCTGTTACCACACAAAAGAGCATATCTTTCTCCTTCCAAATAATAAAAGGTTTTTGTTTCTAGAATAAAGAAAAGATATTCTGCGTGTCAGCCTTAGTAGAAGATGTGCAGGCCAGTGGGATCTATACTGAAGATGAGCAGCCAGTCTGCAGCTGAGAGGGGGTAGCTTATGCACAACCTTTTTCACCTACCAACTGATGCATAGCAAAAGACCTTCAGGAATCCAGCTGATGCACTGCCCTGGAAGTGACAAAACTCAGTACAAAGACAAAAATGCTTCTTAAAATGAAGACTTTTAGAGAAAGAGTAAGAAAACCAGCCAGGAAGAGCAGATTTATGAAAAAAAAAAAACCTCCAACTAAATTGTTTGAAAACAACACTACTTGTGGTCTATGACTTGCATTTATAAGCATAGCATTTTCATTAAATTTTTTATATAACAGATGTTATACATTTCATAGGTATAATCTTTTTTTTTAAAATAATAAAATTTATTTTGACATTCTTTACATACTTAGTTAGAGTAAGAAGGTTCAAGGGCTACAGGAAAGTGGATAATACTAATATGTTTTCCATATTGTTACCTTCATGTTTAAAAGGGGGGTATTAAGGGAGAAGGCCCACCCAATTTCCCACCCTCCCCAAGTCCCGGGTGTAGGGCATGCTCTGAGGTTCTTGCTCAAGTGGCCCTGACATTGCAACAGTTATGAATCGCTGTCAATCCTGCCGCTCCAAGCACTATGAGGTCTTTGAAAAATCCACTGATTGACATAGTCCATCATAGCTGAGATGGTTGGTTGACCCGTTCTGTCTTCTCTCTTTTCTTCGTTAGGGTTCTGAGTCCAGCATTTAGATTAGGAAGATCTCCAAAGAAACTTCTTGTATGTGCTAACAAGTACAGGGCCTGGCACCGTCCATCGTTCCAATCAGTTGGTGGTTGTAAATGCTGGGTTGGTTCTGTTTTCACTCCCGACTTCCACTGGAACCAATGGGTGTTGCAGTCCAGCCTGGTTCTGCCCAGCACATACTTGGTCCTCACCTAAACCAGTGGGAGCTGCAGCCTAGTTGGAGCGACCCACAATAACCCCCACCAGGACCGCCCCTACTCTGGTTTGCCAGTAAGTGTAGCAGTAATCCAGTCTGTCCCACACCCCATTCCACCCCAGCCGCTGTTTAGTTTTATGTCCTCCCATGAAAGTGGTAACCCAAGAGGGATGAGCCCACTATTTCCCTCCCAGGCCTCTCCCACTCCCAGATTCCAATTGATGCTGCCCAAACAAACCTCACCCACTTTAATTTGTTTGCACCAGTAGGAATAATCCGCCCAGCCCGGCTTTTCCCTGATCTAGTCCACATGGGGCGCACAGGTGTGGTAGCTCTGCCTAGTCAGGTCTGCCCCCATCCCAGCCCATGCTCTCCTGTGGAAGTAGCTGTCCTGCAAAGGAACCCTCCCTTATTCCCCTGCTGGCTCTGCCTACTTCCTTCTTGTTCTCAGGCTGGTTGGACGCTGCGGTCCCCTCCGGTACAGGCAACCTCACCTCGGCATTCCGTATTGTGCACTGGTCTTTGTTGCGACCGAACCTGGGTCGACCCACACTGGTGCTTGGATTTGCCAGTGGATGACGTGGACAGATTCAGCCTGGTCTTGCCCCCACGTCTGCCAAGTGTATGCCAGTGGGTAGCTTTCCATGGCCTTTCCTGGGCTGTTTCCTATCATGTTTCTTGCGCTTACCTGCCGGGTCTGTGTCCTGCCAGAGGAGTTGCCCAGGCTCCTCCATCAGAACCTCTCCCAATGCCAGGTTACACGCTTACCAGTGGGTCCATGAGCCAACCCTGCTCAGTCCACCTCCTGTCATAGCAGGAACTGTGGCTTTTCCTGACTGGCCTTCCACCCAATCTGGTTCTTGCTGTTGGATGTTCCAGCCCAGCCATGGTTTGTCCATACCTACGTATGGCTCACACATGGCTCAGTAGGGGTTTGAGACCTTGCCTAGTCTATCACACATCTGCCCTGGTCCTCCAGAACACCAGGGGGAGTCGGGGTCCAGCCTGGTTCGGTGCATCCAATCCCAGTCCACACTTGTGCCAAGGGAGACTGCAACTGTATCCAGATCAGAACGCAGCCCCCCTTCCAGGCCACGCGCCTCTTTGTGGGAACCTCAGCCCAGCTAGGGTTGTCCCCTTTGCTCCCCAACCGGGTCTGTTCCCAGCCATAGCACACTCGCATGCCAGTGGTTGCTCTGACTCAGCTTGGCACAGCTCCTCACCTGTCCCAACCTCTGCCTTAGACACTGTGGCTTCGTGTCCCTGGCTCCCGCAGACCAGTAGGTACAAGAGCCTAGCTTGGCATGACCTTTGCTCCCTCCTGGTTTCTAGTTTTACTTGTGGGCTAAGGTTTGCTCATTTGTACCAGATCTACTCTGTTCCCTACCAGTTGACACGCTAGCCAGCCGTTGGAGCTACTTTTGTAGGACAAGCCCCAAGCCCAGGCTTCTGCATGGACTGGTACTTGGTGCCCAGCATTATTAGTGATTACAAATTTTGCAAGGAAAAGTTACTGCCTGTTTGAGGTCCGAGAATCACAATGGGTTCAACCTGGAGCTAATTAAGCAGCGACTCAAAGAATAAAATCCCCAGAGCTCCCCAGCCGGGCGGCCAGCAGGCGGAGCCTGGCGCCAATGGCACACTGGCCGCCCGGACACGGCTCACCATGTGCCCATGGCGGCCGTCCGGAATCCAGGCATGAGACGCCCCGTCCTGAGACCCACCAGCTGCCGGGAGGCTGCTGGAGGTTTAAAATTCCCAGGCCCAAGGTCGTGCCCCTCCCAAATCCCCTTCGCCGCCCAATGAGGGCGGCGGGTGGGTACCGGACCTGCCCAGTCCCAGAGGCCTCCCCCCTCGGGTCTACTCACCCCAAAGGAAGCAGCCTCTGGAACCCAGCAGGCCCGGACACGGCTCACCATGTGCCCATGGCGGCCGTCCGGAATCCAGGCATGAGACACCCCGTCCTGAGACCCACCCTCATAGGTATAATCTTAATATAAGCATGTTTGTTTCCCTCCCTATCAGGCTCCCTCAAAATTCCCCTCCTTTCTTTTGTTTAATTTTTGCAAAAACATAACTAGATTCCACAGCAATCCCACTCCTGGTTTTTTACCCAAACAAAATGTGTGTATTTTTATTAGTTTACTGGTCATGGAAATGGGCACATATACACACATGTACATACACAAAGGGAGGGAGGAAGGGAAGGCTGGAGAGAGAAAGACAACCCTCCCATTTGCTGGTTAACTCCCCAAATGCTTTCTAACGCTGAGGACAAACTGGGAGCTGGAAATGAAATCTGGGTTTCTGAATTGGATGGCAAGGACTCAACTGCTTGAGTCATCACCCACATGCTCAGAATATACAGAAGTAGACAGAGGAGCAGGACTCAATTCAGCCACTACAATGTGTGATGTAGGTGAGCCAACTGACATCTTAGTATCCATGTCATATATTTTTCTACAATGTTATGTCTGTGGTTGAAAAATTTGCTTCTAGTTTTTCTAAATGCTGGGAGAAAGGAATCGATCATTTTAATAGGAGAAAAAAAGACCCACTAAGAGAGAATGTCCTTATGAAAGAGAATGGGTTTTGAAGGCAAACTGAGTGCGGTTTGAATTCCAGTTTCACAATATTGTATTTAAAGCACCATTGATTTTCTCTGAATTGCCTTATTTGCAATAAGGCATGAGTTATTAACACCTTTTCTAAAGGATTATGGGGAAGCTATAAGGCAAGGACAGTGAATGATACAGGTACAAGAGCCAAGAAATTATCCTATTATAAATGCTATACAAATGATAAATGCAAGTTTTTAAAATGCTTATCAGTATATGAAATAAAAAAGTAGTAAGAATTTTCATCGCGTGGACCTTTTTACTTTGCTTATAAAGACATCTCAAACTGTTTTGAGGATGTATTGCATTTTTTTAAATGGCAGAGTTAGAGAGAGAGAGAAAGAGAGAGAGAAACAGAGTAAGAGGGAGAGGAATGAGGAGAGATGCTGCAACTTCCAGAACAGAACTAGGCTGAAGTCAGGCGCCTGAAACTCCAATCAAGTGGGTCCAAGCATGCACGCCATCAGCTACTGCCTTCTTATGGCACTTTAGCAGGAAGCTAGAAGTGGAGTAACCAGGACTCAAACCTGTGTCCTGGTATAGGATGCTGGCGTTGCCAGTGTTCACAATAAGGACCTCTCAAAAATCTTAGTTAATAAACTTACTTTTATATTTTAATAAGCAACTTTATTAGAAGAAAGCAATATTATAAAGAGACTATTTTAAGATTTCTCTCATGGATGCGAGTAATATTTTGGCTATAATCTTTGGGGAAAGGAAATTTGCACAATTAACTCTAAAGATTGGGCACTTGCTCTTCTAATAATGAAACAGATCCAAATTAGCACTTTAGAATTACAATAGATTTACACAGTTTGCTCTGAAGTTCAACGTTCATAGTTTCTGACATTGCCTCTATAAATAACTTGTATAAAACTGCCATAAGTGGTATTTCTTACCTCGAATGTAATATGGGTTTTCAGTACTGTTACGCAGTGTTTCATTTTCATTTTCCTGAGGCCATCGTAAACATTTGTGCTTTAGGTTACCCATGAAGAGCCCCATCCCAATTAGAGAAAATACACTCAGAAAAAACAGAGTTAGGATAATGACACCAAGCAGTTTCTTGAAGCAGTGGATGAGGATCACTACAAGTGACTTCAGACCTGGAAAGAGAAAGGCTTATTTTTGGTAAAATAAGATCTAGTTAAGCAGCATTAGTAAACTTTGCCGTGCAAAATGCTTTATCAATTGAAACTGATAGTTTTATATCTCATATTGTTTCCTTATTATTCAGCTCTACTGAACAGAATATTAAAAAATCTGTGATTTCTGTATTGCTGCTAATTTAAAATACCTGACAAAATAATTCAGACACAACATTTAGAATTGTTTCTCTTTACAAATATTAAAATACAAAACTATAAATGTAAATGAGTTAGAAATACTGCTGAAATATAAAATAGCTTGAAGGAACAAGATGAAACCGCCCTTTTAACTGTGACATATGGACTCAACCATTGTTTCCTTGCTTCTTTATTCACTTCTCTCCTTCCTCTCTGATATATATGTTTAGGACCTCAAATGAATAAGAACATTAACTCTGCGATGTTGAGCAAGTAAGTCAACATTTATTTACCTCAATTTTATTTTCATAAAATTGGGAGTAACCATACCGCGTTATTAATATAGAAGACAAAAAACTGTAAGGATGAAAGCGGCATCTTATAACTTGATTATTGTGTGTAGGCCCTGCCCATATTGCTGTTGAACAGTAGTCTTTATATGATTTACTTATTGAACATTATTTACGGTGAATGTAGCAGTAATCCTGTGATTATAAAGTAACTTGAAATGTATTGTAAAAATTAAAGGAAAGAAAAAGAAGTAAGGAAGGGGGATTAAGGTAAGTATGAAGGGAGGGAAGTATGGTTACATATATACATATAGTATGATTAGATCTATGAAATACATGAAACCTATTCTCTTTACACTAAACATTAAAAACAATTAAACATCTATCCATGTATAACATACTCAGTTGTTCATTGAATGAAATGGAATGGGAACAGTCATTTATGTCTCTATAGAAATATGGTATTTAGGATTAAACCTGAAAGTTTACTTCTTTTCATGCAAAAACTTCTTTGTAATCTTTTGCCACCACTTTTTAGCTTTAAAACATTTTTATTTATAAACAGAACAGATTTCATTTCTTTCCTCTGTACAGTTTAAGAACATAGTGCTTCTCATTTATCCTTGCTTGCTCTCTTCCACTCTCCCTATTTGTTTGTTTCTTATTTTTCTTTTTATTTTTACAGTAACATGCATTCATTCCATTTATAGCCACAGTCCTAGTCCTCCACTAAAGGAAGAATTTAATAAATAGAAAGTAGAAAGACTACTAGACAAGAGCTATAAACAACAATCAAATCTCAAGTCATCACTTTCACTACTATACATAACTTTCTTCCTAGTAAATGTATTATTTACAGGTCAAATAAAACGTTTATTTTTAGTGTTACAAATCTTTTTAAGTTTTACATAGAAATTCCTTGTCAAAATATGCAACCATGCTTAAGAATTATTACATATATTGACATTTTAATTTTATTTATTCATTGTATTTGATAGAGAGGAAACCCACTGCTTTGCTTTCTACATGCCCACAAAAGCTGAGGTTAGCCAGGACAAAGCCAGGAGAAGGAACTCACTACAGTCTCCCATGTGTGTGGCAGGGATCTGATGACTTTTACAATCACCTGCTGCCTTCTTTGGTACACACCATCTGTAGTTAGAATTAGGAGCAAAGTCGAAAACTGGAACTCGGGTGGTCTGACAGCGGCAGTCCACAGGACCGTTTAAACTGCGCACCAAAAGCCCATCCCTCATGGTATCTTTTTCAGGGTCATCAATTATACATGTGATGAAATTAATTTTTTTCATCTTTAATCCATCCCAGTTTTTGCTCTACTGCATTAGCACAGAACTCCTGATTTTTTAATATATAAATGTGTTTGCTGCACTGATTACACTATTTCCTATTGCTTCTACTACCACTAAATATTTACATGGGGTACTTTAATCTTTACCATTTTTAGTTTCAACTTTATTTGTATTTGCCTATTTTATTATCTTGTTTTCATCTTCTGCTTAAAAGTGTCTAGGGCATATTATACTGAGGTTACAAAATGCTGATTCCATAGGCTTGCTTCTATTCCTTAAACAGGTTTCTTTAAAAAAAAAAATCACATTGTTTTGGGCCTGGCACGGTGGCCTAGTGGCTAAAAAGTCCTCACCTTGCATGCCCAGGTTCCCATATAGGAACCGGTTCTAATCCTGTTGGCCCTGTATCCCATCCAGCTCCCTGTTTGTGGCCTGGGAAAACAGTATAAGAGGGCTCAAGTCTTTGGGACCCTGCACCAATGTGGGAGACCTGGAAGAGTCTCCTGGATCCTGGCTTTGGATCGGCACAGTTCCAGCTGTTGTGGCCGCTTGGGGAGTGAAATCAGACGGAAGATTACTCTCTGCCTCTCCTCCTCTCTGTATATCTGACTTTCCAATGAAAATAAAATCTTTTAGAAATCACATTGTTTCTATTAACTAGCCTGTTTATCTTTCTGTATTGAGAAATATTTCCACATACTTCATTTTATTATGATATGCCTTCTTTATGTTCCTTCAGGCAAATAGTGTGAATCTCAGAGCCTGCATACTCCAGGCTCCTATGAGCAGGTTCTTCCTCTGTGAACTTCGATTCTCCTGTTTTCTTTCATTATCCTAAGTTCAAGGTGCAGGTTATGCAACCTTATGTTCTAGTAATTGCAAGTTTACCCTGTGGGTACCTGGGGAGGAAATGCTACCAAAAAGAAATTGGGGGACAGTACTGTCTTAGACAACTGACAAAGTTTATTTCCAAGGTTACAGTTCTTACAGACTCAGTAAAACTTAGTTCAGACAACTCAGAACTGAGTTCAAGCAGGCTAATAAGATAAACTGATCAAAGCATTATTGAAGTTGGGAACAGATGAGGAATACTCTCCACTCTTGGCTACCTGACCAGGCAGATCTTGCCTATCATCAAGGGGAGCACAAAGGCACGTCCAAGGACCTACTGAGAGCAACAGCACACCCTGGGTGAGAGGCCCGCCACCTCCTCTTTCCTGGGTCCTCTTCTCAACAGGATCCCACAGGCCTCTGCTGTCCCAGCTGTCCTGGTGGATGTATTCCAACAAGTAATATTCAGAGTGTGACAAGCAAACAACAGATACTGACAATCCAGTAAGGGAATTCTCACTGCTTGTTTTCTTAGCTAGAATTTGGTGATGTCACAGGCCATTTGGCTAAACAATCTTATGCAGATACAATTCCCAAGACATATAATTTATAGTTTTGATTATGGGTTGATATTTTACTGTACTCTCAGGTTATGAATATATTAAGATTTTCTCCAATCTTCTCTTTTTCTCATCCTGAATTCCAATCTCACAGTATGCCCAAGTCTGGCCTTAGCGCTCCACTTCAGAACATCCTGTAAATAAAGTGTGTCTGACAGTCACCATTTCATTTCTCAGTGCAGCTATTTCCTGATACTTCTCACAGCGGCCAGAATGAGTGAAACTGTTTGCCTCCTTCAAAAGGATATATTAGGAGTTGGTGGGTACCTGCTGAAGCATCTTCAGAAACGGAAGCTAAAATTAGCCCTCGGCATCTTCTGTCTACATGATCCTAGCTGTAATTTATTTAGCAAAGTCCTTTGAGCACTGTAACATGTGGATTGCACATTCTCAAGCACTGAACTTTGTTAGCTTACAGTCCTTTGTATCAACTGATTTCTCAATGCAATGAGGAAAAGGAAACAGATCAGTTTTCTTTCTAGCTTGCTATCTCAGAAATTTCAGGATAATTTTATAAACTCACAAAAATATAAATAGAATACGTACATAAAAAGAATAAAAATAAAACACACTTGATTGATCCCTATATTTTGTATTGTAAGTACTGGTCCCACATATCCACATACAATAAATATAGTGTAACATTTTCTCTTGCCTTTCTGCAGTGACAGATTGAAACTACTCTTGCTTTCAAAGCAGAGACATTATTCAAGTTAATACTTTCTCTAAGGAACAAAAGATTTGAAGTGAATACAGAGCAGTATATAAAACAAAATGAGGAAAATGAATTCAATAATAATCTTACCTTGATTTAGAGGAATAATCTTCAGAATTCTCAGAGTTCTAACAGTTTGAAGCTTTAGAATCAAGTTTACAGGTACATATCTGGCTATGAGCCTGTGAATTTAAGTCATAATTACTGAAAAGTCATGTTTATGTTACCTACAGTTTTATACTTTCTGAAGCCATTTTAAAAACCACGTATTCAAGTGTTGTTCCCATTCTAATTATGCTGTTTTGCAAATAACTTTGTTATTAATTGGAAGACAAAGACAGGCACAAAGCAAAATGGCCAGGAAAACATAAATTTTCATGCTTAAATTATAAGAGTTTGTGAAATTTCAGATTGCAAATACTTAAATTCTATAAGTTAAATATTCTGCATTTTGTTCATAAATATTTAGCTACTAAAAAAGTTAGAACATTAAAAATAGATAATTTGTAAAGGATTGAGATTCATTAAATTATTTGATAAGATGACAGTAATCATGGTGATGATAGCCTCTGATGAGTGTAGAAGGCATTATGATATTGGTCAAGGGCAGTTTGAGCCAAATGAGGAATTCAGGCCCCGCGACTCCAAGATGACTGAATAAGGAAAAGTCACACTGATTTTGATCAAGGGAAGCTAGTCAAGGAAAAATGAAGGAAACATTTCCAGGGAGAATCGAGAGAAGTTTGCAGTAGAAATTGTACAGGTTATATAGAGAGAGGGCATGGAGAAGTACGGACAGTGTAATTATGCAGCACTGAATGAGACTGAAGGAGAAGGCAGTTCTAGAGACAAGAGCGAGGGTTCAGCAGATCAGCATAGTCAGAATACTGGCAGCATTGCAAATGTTGAATCTTGCAGGCCACGCTGACTTTGTGTGCAATGTGGAGCCAAAACAGGAGATGGGGAACCCAAAATAACCATTCTTAAAGAGCCCACTTGTTTCCCCTCATCAGCTGAGAAGTGTGCCCAGACGAGCTGTGAGATAGTGTGCTATTGTAAGAACAACAAAAATTGTGTGTCCATGTTTGTGCAGGTACACTTGACCAAGTGATTTTAATAAAGGAATAATCTGCATTCCACATTTTGAATCTTGGCTTGTGGTCAGATGGGTCTACTCACTCATATTGAATTGTAAGGCATGCACACCTTCTGCCCTACAACAGGCTACCGGACGCAAAGTTGCCAAGGCAGAGCACACAGAGGGAGCTGGCACTGGGAACAACTCCTCTCACTCTATGGGCAGAGCAGGCTAAGGGAATGAACGGATCCACAGCACCCTGTGCCTGTGTGGGTCTTGTACAGAATGATTAGGAATTCTGTGACAGTCTGACAGTTTATGGCATGGCAACTGGGTCTCACGGCATTCAGCGTATTTGACACGAGAGATGAAGAGATCTCCATTTGTCCAACTAGCATAGCAGGGTTCTGTGCTCACAGGGAAGACTGCACAGATCTTTTGTGTGGTTCAACTGCCAGGGTGAGTGGAGACTATATTCACTGTGGCCAACCCCAGGCAGGCATTGGTCACCTTGAGAGGACATGAGACTTAGATCCCTGAAACTATGTGGAAAATTGGGAAGAAACTCCTGGCTCCTGCCTTTGAATTGGCTCAGTTATGGCTATTGCAGTCATGTAGGGAGTGAATCAACAGATGAAAGATTCTGTCACTGCTTCTCTCTGTAAATCTTTCAATTAAAAAAAAATTAAAACCAAAGAGCAAAAAAGAAATCAGCAAGTGCTTCAAGAAATGACTAAAAATAAATATAAAAATGCAAGAACAAAGCCAAGGAAGACACGACTCCCCAAAAGGAAGTGACAGCTCTTCAATACTAGAATGTGAAGACTAAGAGTCAAAATGATGAAATGATGAGAAAAATGATCACATTATTAGGCCAAAGGACACAAACACCAATCTCTAAAAAAATCCATACATGACATGGATAAAAAGTTTTACTGATTGAGAAATTAAAGGAAAAAATATTGAAGCACTAGAAATAAAGAATTCAATGTTACAAATAGAAAATCCTGAAGTAATCCCAACAACAGAGTAACTTTTCCTTGAATGCAAGTGACAGTACTGATACCTAGTGGTTTATAGGAGAGAGACCAGATGATCTTTATGGGTCAGACTGAAATACCAGCCTACTTATAAGTTCTGTGTAGAACTTGTTATCACTGATCAATGCAGACCACCACAGAGCAGCCTATGAGAAAGCTAAGCCTGGGGGTTGTCTAGCAGGGCCAGATCCTAGTACCTGACAGAATGTTGGATCAGGTTATGGGTCACATTAGGCAAGGCCATGACACTATCCAGCACACGAGAAAATCATTTCCAGGGGTAGATTCTGTGGAGGATGTGTGGGCCAAATCCTGTGGAAATACTAGTCGCACTTGTTAGCTCAAGAGTTGGAGGGAGGGGTGATGGGCTGAACTAGGTGTGACCATGGAATCTGCCATTACTTACAGGTAAAGGAACTGATAACAGTCTGGGCTGGTCAAGACAGTAGCACCCGCTTGCACATCCTAAAACAGGGTATGGGTTGGGCCAGACTGCGATGTTCACCAGCTCATAGAAGGCCAAAATGGAAGGCCAGACTATGTCAGGCACTGGCCTAACACTCACTGGCATGTATGAGAACTGGCTCTGGGAGAGGGTCAAGTGGGAGAAATTGGGAAACTCCCCTAGTGGGTTACAACTCTCAATGATGATCACATGCTCCAGGCCTGGGGGTTGAATAAGCTGGGCAAGGTAGCTCCAACTGTTGGCTAATGTGTGAATTGATTATGGAGTGGGGTGGGGGGCCTAAACTGGGCAGGGCCAAGCAAACATTAGCTCACAAGTAAGAATAGAAATCAGGATGGAGCAAAGGTAATGCCGAGCTAGGCTCTTACACTTTCTGGTCTGCATGAGCCAGGGATGCTGATAGGGAGCAGCCCAGACCAGACCAGGGAAAGGTATTCACCAGCATACATTTGGCATAGGCTGTGGGCAGACCAGGCTGAACCAGTTCACATCACCCATTGGTGAATCTGAGCACCAGAAGAGAGTATGGGTCAGGCCATGTTTGGTTGCAACACATACCAGTACATATTACAGCTTGAATTGGGTGCCTGTTGGGCTCGGCTAGACTGTAACCCTCACCAGTGTCAGCTGGAAGTAAGGGTGGGCCGGGCCGGGTCAGACTACAGCACCCACTGGCAAATGCTGATTTGAGGGAGGGCCATGCTGGACTGGGCTGCAGCACCCAAAGCACATATTTAAGAACCAGGGAGGGAGGGGTAGAGCTGATAGAAGGAATGTGGAGGGCACCCCTGCTGGTACACCACTCCCACTGGAGAGCATGAGTTGGGATGGCAGCAGACCAGACCAGACAGGGCTGCAACATCTGTGGGCCGCATGTGAGCCAGATCAGGGAAAAGCCAAACTTGGTTGACTGTCCCTTCTGCTACAAGCATAAATTAGAGAGGGCAAAGGTTGGTTAGGCTTTGCCGCAGCATCAGCTTGCAGATGCTGTCACTGGGGGCTGATTCTGTCAAGTTAAACTGCACAGAAACACCTGGAAAGTGCATGATCAGGGATTGGAAATGACCCAGGAAGAAATAGTGGGCACCTCCCTCTTGGGTTATCACTCCCACTGCAGAGCATGAAAACCAGTAGAGCAGACCAGGCTGGACAGAACGGAACCCATCAACATGAGTGTGTGGGGTGGATGGTGGGCCTGGTTGGGTTCAACTAGGCTTGAATGCCCATTGATATGCAGGAGAACTGAATGGGATGTGGGACAGACTAAAGAAGTCTGTGGTACTTACTGGCAAGCATGGAAACCATGGCAGAGCGCAAGCCTTTTTGGGGTTACTGGGAGTTGCCCCAACTGGGCTGCAGCTCCCACTATTTGCATGAGGGCCAAGAGTGAAGTGGACAGATTCAGGATGGACTGCAGCACCTATTTGTTTGTGTGGAAGACAGGGCTGGTAACAGAACTAACCCAGCAATTGCAACCACTAGCATTTGCATAAGCTGGGGCGACGGAATTTGCCAGGCCCTGCACAGGCAAGCACACGCAAGAATCTGGTGTAGGATCACAGCAGACAAAGTTTCTTTGGGGATGTCCCCAATCGAGCTGCCGGATTCAGAACCCCAACAATGAAGAGAACTGCAGGTTCCATGATCTGACCTTGGAGTGCAAGTGTCAAAGAAGAACCTTCTCAGAGGCTCAGACAGAGCAGTGGACAGCATACCTAGGTGCACGTGGAGGACATGGCAGTCCATCAGAACCTGCAGAGGAAACCTGATACCACAACAAAGCATGGAGGACAGAACAAGTCAACCCAGCCATGTGTTGGCAGTGAAAATCTGGGCAAATGGAGACTGTAAGTTGGACTATGTCAACCAGTGGATTCTGCAGCTATTTCATTGGGCTTGAAATGGCGAGATAGGCAGCAATTCAGAACTGTTGAATTATCAGAACCACTCAAGCATGACCCTTAGATCATGCCCCATTTCAGGGACCTGGGATGGGTGGGAGGCTGGGTGGGGCTTCTCCCTTTATCTCCCACTTTACCCCAGATACAGAAAAAAGCAATAATGTGGAAATACTCTTAGCCACTTTCCTGTATCCCTTGACCCTTTGTGCCCTAATCGACTATGTAAAGACTGTCAAAATAAAGCAACTAGAAAAAAAGAAAAAGAAAATACAGTAGGAAGCTTCAACAATAGGCTTGGTGAGGCAGAAGGAAGAATATCTGAGCTAGAAGAAAAATTCTTGGAAATTGACAAAAAAAAAAAAAGAAAATATTTGAGATTGTGATACTATCTAACTACTTATGTAAATTTCCTGAAGGTTTAGAAAGATACTTGATTAGCTGCTTTATTCAGCAAATAGCATAAAACTTCCCTGATATGGAAAAATAAAGGGACTTTCTAGTACAGGAAGCATAAAGATCTCCTAACAGGGTTGATCAGAATCAATATTCACCATGACATATTACAGTCAAATTTTCAACAGTAAAATAAAGAAAAGTTTCTTAAATGTGTGTAAGAAAAATGCCAGATTACTTTTGGAGGGCCCCCTTCCAATAGGTAATAGCTGAAAGTAGTCTAGGTCTTAAAAGAAGCACAATTCCAATCCAGAATTCTGCATCCTGTAAAGTAGTAATCTATGAAATAAGGCAAAATAAAGACCTTCCAAAACACATGGAATATAAAAGTATTTGCTATAACTCATTCAACCTTACAAATGATATTTACCAATATGCTATACATAGAAAAAGCCAATTATATAATGAAAGAATGAGTAAAAGTACAAAGGATTTCAAGTCAAACAATAATACTTAAGGCACAATGTCAGAACCCAGTCATTGCCTTTCAATAATAGACCTGAATGTAAATAACCCAATATCTCCAATCAAATCACATAGACTGGTTGAATGGATTTCAGTTTTAACAAAATCTATTTGATGCCTGATCAACTAAGATACATGCAAGCTGAAACTGTACAATGAAAAGGAATATTCCACAACAAGAACAATAAGGAAAAACAAGCAGAGGTAGTCATCCCAGTCTCACACAAAGTGGACTTTAACACAAAAACTATGAAAGTGATGAAGCAAGGCATTAAATAGGGTTAAAGGATGAACTAAAAAAGATGCAAATGTAGTAAATGTACAATCTATCAATGCATCTCAAGGACCTAGAAAATAGAAACAAGTCAAGCTCAAAATTAGTATGAGAAAGAATTTAAAGTTAGTGAATAAAACGAAAGCAGACACACAAAAATTAGTGAACCAAACAGCTGAGTTTTTAAAAAGTAAAATCAATATACTATCATCCCAACTAACCATAGAAAAAGAGAAAAGACTCAACTCAATAAAATTTGAGATTTAAAAGTAAATTTAACAAAGGACACCACAAGGGGAAAAAAACAATCATCAGCTACATGCCAACAAATTAGAAAATCCAGAAGAAATGGATTGATTTCTGGATACACAGTCTTTCAAAACTGAGTCATGTTGACACAGAAAACCTAAACAGGCCAATAACTGAGGCAGAGATTGAGTCAACAGCCTCATCCAAAAAAGACCAGCCCAGGAGCAAATGACTTCACTGTTGAATTTTACTAAACTTCAAGAAAAACTAATTCTAATTCTTTTTTGTTTAAAGATTTATTTATTTTATTGGAAAGGCAGACGTACAGAGAGGAGGAGAGACAGAGAAAACTATGGAATGCCAGTCAACAATAGAAAAATAATGAAATCCTATCTTTTGCAACAAAGTTGATGAACTGGAAACCATTATGCTCTGCAAAATAAGCCAGTCTCAAATACAGTGTTATTTCTGATATGTGGCAGCTAATAGAGAACACACTTATAAAAATAAGTGTGGGGATGAAATAGTCACTTTGGAGTATGATTGCCATTTTTAGCTTGTGTTTATAGTACAGTGGAAATATAATTTTTTGGTCTTTTTACTTTTTATTTGTTAAATATGATTAGTGGCAAATTAAGCTTCTGACTACAGAGATTAAAATTATGTCTGCAAATACTGATGGAGAGAAGGAAGAGAGACAGGGGTATTGGTGGAGGGGAGGAGAGTGTTGGAAACATTTAATTGTCTTCTTGTAACTGTACCTATAGAACACATAAAACAGAAATTGTGAATCCATCATTATCTAGAAGCGTGGCATTTGCAAATACTCAAACGTTCCTGCTTCATTTGCCTCAATTGCATAGCAGGCTTGCTTCAGGGCCTTCTCTTTGGATTAAATGAGGTAACAGAGGTAAAATACTGAGAAGAGCAGTTGACACATATGATGGCACTCTGCATTGTATCTTAGATAACAGCAACTTAAACATATATATATATGTCTAAACATATATATATATATTTAAACATATAACCACTATACTACTTTTTCAATTACTTCTCACAAAGTAGATGCTATTTATTCCTGTTATGGTATTTTTAATCGAAAAAAATGACAAAGTATAATTTAGCACCTTTAATAAGAGTTTAGTAATTATCTTTTCCATAGATATATAGAATGCATTGAACAGAAGCATTGCAAAAAATAGATACAAAATCATTAGAATTCCATGTACCATTCCAGAAATTGTTTGTGTTTAAAATACCCTGCTCTAATAGTTGACATATTTATTGTTTTAAATAATGTAGCTAAGTGAAATGCAGACTGGAACAGAGAATCAAATATGCTAGTATCCCTTCCTAAGCCTTTAGGAAATCTGTTCATTATTGACATGAAACAATTCAATCCACATTCTTGTTCAAAATAAAACAGAAAATACCACATGCCTTCACTTTCATCACAAATTCTGAAGACTACTCAGGGACAGTTGCCTGTGAGATTTGCTATGACTACTACCTATGAAGTACTACTTAGCTGCCATATAAAGGGGCACAAATCTTTGTGGCTCTCAATTATGTTTTATGAGAAGGATCTCCTTAGCAAGACATCTAGCTGTTTGCAATTGAGAGAAATACTCACTCAAACAATGTCACACTGAAGTCAAGCCAGTTCCATGCATCACCAACAAAAGAAAAGGATCCTGTGCAGAGGCCTCTTGCAATCAGTTTCACAATGATTTCAAAAGTATAAATTCCAAGTAGTGTATGCCTGCAGGAAGTTTTTCATATAACTATTAAATCATGACACATTTTCAACTTTGAAAACTATGTTTATGATTACTCTTGTCTGTCAATTTCTGAAAATCTCAATTATAACAAAATATATTGCTTCTTCATTCTATTCTCTTGCATAAATTGTGTATCTAGTCTCAGCCTTTCACATGTACCAAATCCTCTGTAGCTGCTCCTAACCTTCAGTATACTTGTACACCTGCTTTCCTCAATCTTGACCTCCTTTATGTTTCTCACAATATGCTTTTACTTTCTCATTTTTTAAAATTAGGAGTTCATTCCTTCCTCTCTGTTTCCTCCTTCCCCATTTTTCCTTCATACCTTTTCCCCCATAGTAGCACACTATTATAATCCTGTAGTACCATTTACAAATTTAACTTTCTGACATTTAAAAGCATTATGACATTGTAAGTACTAGCAAAAGCATAAAACCTCATATTGCAATATAGAGATATAATTATAAGCTTTATTGGGAGTCCTTCTTTGTCAACAGAGCCACATACTGCCTTGTACTTTTACTTCCTAGTGTGCTAGTCTCCCTTGAACTCTATTTTGTATTTTAAATAATTCTTAAGTAATGTGGGACCAGATTTGCTTGGTAAGCCCCAACCAGGCAATAATCAGAAAAGCAAGTGTCCCTTGAGTCTTAGCACAGTGCTTTAAAAAGGACTTTTAGGATGGGGCTATCTCGTGATATTACACATGAAATTTGACTACTGACTTTTGAAAAAATAATTCCTAGAAAAGAGATGACGGACTATATGTTATTGAGGTAAATGATCATATAGCAAATATCATATAAAGACAGCACAACAATTAACCTGACAGTAAGGAGGGAGCAGAGAAAATATAATTTCATTATCAATACATGTAAGGATTTTTATGATAAACTCAAATTTTAATTGCTCTTCAGAGTCAACCAATTTTAACAATAGAGTTGAATCTCAAAAGATAAAGTGTTATTTTCTAGAAAATTAAATGGGTCAGCCAATCACTATAGTCTGATTAGACTATTTACATAGCTCAAAGACAAGAGAAGTAGAATAAAAAGCAAAATAAATGATTTCCTTATGAATGGAAAGAAAAGGAAGCATTTTGAATTAGAAGCCAATTAGGGTTATAGTTACAATAAAAACCTTAAGCACTAAAATATTAATCGTTAATAATTCAATTTGAAATAAATCCCATTTGTATGATTTCATAGGCAGAAACATATGGGTAAAGACTCAAATACTTATATTATGCTAATCTAATCTGTTGGGAAATAGAAATATTTAAGATAAAAAAAAACCAGTAAAAATAATTCCTAAAACGTGTGAATCAGTGTACATATGTGAATACTTGGTTTCAATCATAATGATGTTTATAAAATTACTGTAACATGCATCTTAAATATATAATTATGTTAAATTTTGAAATTTATATATAACTACATTGCTTTTTCATTTTAATATTGTTACATATTTTGTTTTGAAACAAAAATCTTAAAAATTATATGTATGTGATATTATATAAAGTAAAATTACATAGCTTACTCTATTGCTGGTCCCCATTTTGGCAAGTTACTCATAGACATAAATATACAATCAGTAAGGACACTGATTAAAATTAAATATCGGAAAAATGTAGATTACAGTCAAGGAATAATGGGAAATGCATAATATCAGGAAAGATACTTCTGTGATATATTTTATTTATACTAGACCATGAGGTAAATTTTTCCTCTATGTTTAAAAATATGTATTCTTATGAATATAACAGCAACCATTATTGTTTATTGCTACTGGATGTAACAGAATACACTTTATACAGTTTTTCAAATATGGAACATTTAAATTTAGATTAATATGATGTTACATGAAATATCAGTTGGGAAGAGAACAATACCCCCAATTTTTGAAATAGTTAGTTTCAAATGCAGTGAACAAGTCCAAAGGATATGGGTGTACCAGAACCTTGATAGTTGCTCCTCTAACTGTGCTGAAAGGAGATAAGGTGCACAATATAGAAACAGCATTGAATCTGAAGATAGTTCTGTTTTTATTTAATGCAATGAAAGTCTGTAGAGAGAAAAAAATCCAGTTAACAGAAGTGAGAACTATAATGTATGAATTATGCAACATATTTCTAATGACCATTGCTGTCTTAAGACCATTGCTGAGATAAGATTTGCTCATTTTTAATGTTTTCTTATGCACTCAGTCAAATGGATACATTTCATTAATATTTAGATGTGTTGTGTTTTGCAAGTGCTATACCTGAGTTATTTGTATTGGAGCACACTCCCAGACTTCCTCCTAAAAGTAACAAAATACTATATCCCTCCTGTACATTGAAACATATTCAACAATACCAATGTGGTATATCTTAGGAATTAATGAAAGCAAGATATTCCATTTTGTTTTAAAAATGCCAAGAAGTCAGAAGTCAGAACACAGCTAAGTTCCTGGTTATATGTCATTTTGTTTTTTTCCCATTCCATAATTCTTGCTTTTATGTGTTCATACAAGATCTTCATTTTGTAAAAGATTTATTTATTTTTATTGCAAATTCAGATACACAGTGAGGAGGAGAGACAGAGAGGAAGATCATTCACTTCATCCGATGATTCACTCCCCTAGTGACTGCAACAGCCAGTACTATGCTGATCCGAAGCCAGGGGCCAGGAACTTCCTCCAGGTCTCCCATGCGGGTGCAGTCTCCCAAGGCTTTGGGTGGCCATATGGGATCCAGGCGCATTCCAGGCAAGGATGTTAGCTGCTAGGCCACAGCGCTGGGCCCCATAAAAGATCTTCTTTGCCTTTTTAAACTTTCAAGTGCTCCTCAAGGCATAACCAAAATTTTACTTTCTTAATGAATTCTTGAAGCTTCATGTACTTTCAAAGATTTCTGCCTTTTCTGAACATACTTATGCTCATATTTAATATTGTTATTATTTTGAGACATATAGTAGTAAGGTGTTTCTAGTTACTTGGAAGACAGAAAATAAATATTTTTGAATAAGAATGATAAGCAATATACAAGCTGACTTTTCCTTCCTAACATATCTGTAATCTTATCAAATTGGACAATTTTAATTATGCATATGTTACACATTTCATAGTCAATTAAAGTGGACAGCCTGGGCCTGGCGCAGTAGCCTCAAGGCTAAAGTCCTCGCCTTGAATGTGCCGGGATCTCTTTTGGACACTGGTTCTAATCCTAGTGTCCCCACATCCCATGCAACTCCCTGCTGTGGCCTGGGAAAGCAGTTGAGAATGGTCCAAAGCCTTGGGTCTCTGCATCGGCATGGTAGACTACGAAGAAACTCGGGGCTGCAGGCTTCGGATCAGCTCAGTTCCAGCTGGCCCTGGCGGCCACTTGGGGAGTTAATCATCAGACAGAACATCTTCCTCTCTGTCTGCCTCCTCTCTGTATATCTGACTTTGCAATAAAAATAAGTAAACCTAAAAAAAATGTTGACAGCCCATAAATGATTAATCTTCAACCTCCTGTACAACAAGTTCATTTATAGGAAGGCCTAAGAATGCATACATTAAGAAATAATCCAAATAATCCAACCTAACAGCTACCCAGCCAGGTAGTGTATCAATTTTGATAAAATCCTCAACTATATATTATCCCATGAAGAAGTATCTTAACATAGTTCTGTGAAATTTAAAATGATCTCTTTGTTCTTCATTACCTTAATGCACCCTATGTCAATTACCTTTATTTGCATTTCTGGAAATATGATTAAAATGTAGTCAGAATAATTTCAATGAATTCTTACATTTTTCCCTTTGTAATACGGGTCCACATCTTCCAAGGGCTCTGACACCATTCCTCTAGACAGACTTCCATAAATAATTGGAAGCTCTTTGCCATCTTGCAAGTCAGAGTTGGGCTTTAATTCTTCTTCCTCAAGTTCCTCATTGTGTTTTTCAGCGAGGTGCTGTTTTATAGCCTCAAGAGACTCTTTAGTGAAGGGGACAAGGCCCTTTGGTTCTTGGGGAGCCAACATTTTCAATTTCGTATCTGTAAGAATTTAATTTTTTAAAGTTCTAAATAGAAGCTGAGTAGTACTTTAAGAAAAACTGAAAATTACAAAATGTTAGGGTATGAAAAATAGACACCAGCAAAATTTATATTGGGCTTACCTGTAACTCATGAGTCACCCACTCAATCTGTCTTTTTACTCACTATTTTATCAAAGAATGTAAGCGTAATCTGAATTTTTTTTTTCTGCCCAAATCCAATGATCTCATATGAGTTGTATCTCAAAATAGATTGGTTCTTCCTCTTTAAACTTCACTAACCTTGGCCGCAATTTCCTGACTACCTTTTGATTTAACTTCGCTAGTTTAATAATCAAAACTTTATCTCTGATATCCCTCAGATTTTTGTCTTTCCATGTTTTTGTTATCCATCTTTTCGAAGAATGCAGATAAAAAAAAGATCCTTAACTGCTATTCCCATATGTCCATTTTACTAACTACATTCCCCAAAACATTTCCTTCTCCTAAATGTCTATGTGGTAATTTTACCAATAGCACCAACTTAACAGCTGAAAACAAAAATCATTGTCATTTTCCATTATTAAAATTATTGTTCAACATTTAAATGTAGAGAAAAATCATTACCTGAGAAATTGTCCATGATACTTTCATCCATCCCTGTACACAAAAATAACTTGCTTCTCAGAACTTTTCATTATGTAGTTTGAATGCTACCTATTTCTATATCCATTTGAAGGTTGTCAATCTTTTAATTCTGTATTTGGGATAGACCAGCAGTCTTTAGTTACTATGCCACAATACTGACTGCTGATGATTTTAATGAATGCCAATTTAATACTTCAATATAATAAATTTCCTTTATTTGCCTAAATTCTTTGATTTTATTATGATAATTAAGGCTTAAGAAATTTTCTACTAGATTGTGGCACTTTGTAGCTAGGCACTTTGTGTGAAGAGTTGATGGCAGTCAATTAAATTGTGCAACTCATTCCTGAGAAATCACACTTTCATTTCATTCCAAAAATGTCCATTATAGTGAAAAATGTGTTATTGAAAGCTTTAACATTGTACTTGTGTAGTATTCAAAAATAAGAAAAAGGTAATCAATACTGGTGAGATAGCATTCATTATGACAGTCAAGACTTCTACTACTTCAGGTACATGGTACAGCGGATTTTTAAACATACAAAACACATCTCACTGATATCCAAAGAGAAAAGAAATATTTGTGTCATGGTTGTGCTATGGAAAATGGATAATAAAAGTAGAAAATGAAATACTGGAATGACTACTTGGATTAAATATTCTTTGGATTTGCTTTAGCTTTCAAGCATTTTACATGAAGAATACTTACTTACTCTGTTTCTATAAAGGCACTTTGATGAAAACTATTATCATAGCCTTAACATTACTTGATTTTTCAGTTTAATTTTTTACCATAAGTCTCTAAACAAGATCTCAAAGACATAAGCAAAAGGCAATTCAAGTATTCTAGCCCAGTCCAGGGAGTATTTTCCCCTTCAACTAGTCAATTAACAAAGAGAACTATATCATTTGCATATGTTTCTTCAAGAAACATATCAGAGATAGGATGTAAAGCAACTCAAAAGACAGTGGTGAGGAGCAGCTGGGGGTTGGGATGAAAGTACCATGGGGCAACTAATTAAACTTCCACCTGCAAGCATCATTGATGCCAATATATGTCCCAGCTGCTCAGAAGAGGCTCCTGGTTCCTGATCAGCTCAGCTCTGGCCATTGTAGCCATTTGGGGAGTGAACCGGTGGATGAAAGATCTTTCGGTCTCTCCTCTCTGTAAATCTGCCTTTTCAATAAGAATAATATTTTAAAAATACAGAGAAAGAAGTAGAGCTGTAATGAACAATAAGGCAGACATTCTTCAACAGACTGACCCATTTCCTTTCTATTAATACCTAGTGATGAGATTTCTAGATAGTATGGTTCTGCCTTTGTCTATTTTAGGAACCTCCATTCTATTTTCCATCATGGCTATTCCAATATACATCCCTAGTATATGAAATTTTCCCTTTTTAGGAATTCTCACCAGCATTTGTTATTTTTCTCTTTAGTGATAGCTTTTCTAATATGGATGAAGTAACATATCATCATTGTTTAAATTCACATTTCCCTGATGGCAGGTTTTGCCATGTGCTTGTTGATCATTTGTATATCCTTGAGAGACTTCCATTTCATTTTTTTAAATCAATTTTATATTGCACTCCTTGCCTATTTGCTACTGAATTGAGCTCCTTAGGATGTGGTATCTATACATCGTGAAATTTTATGCAGCTCTAAACCATAAACCCTATCAATTATAGAAGCATGGATAAACCTAAAGGTCATTATATTAACTGAAGTAAGCCAGGCACAGAAAGGCCAAAGGTTGCATGATTTCACTCATTTGAGAATCAATGCATTCTAAGCTCAATACAAACACAAAACAGAGTACTAGTAGTCATCAGAAAATGAGAATAATAATAGGAAGGGAATGTAGGGAGAAACCAGTCAATGGAAACAAAATTATAGTTAAATATGAATAACAAACTCATGCAGCACAGAGGATATATTTTCAAGTAACTAGAAGACAATTCTGAATGTTCTTGAACAAAAAATGATAAAAGTTTAAAGGGATAAATATATTAAGAACCATGATTTGGTCACTACACATTGCATGTAACTATCACAATATCATATTGTATCTCATAAATTATAAACAAAACCAAATTATCATTATAAACAATCATAAACAATTACAAACAATTATAAACAAAACCAAAGAAAGAAAAATACGGATCAGGCAGATCGTCTCTTGGAGTTCTCTTTCCAGACAAATGGAATAAAATTTGCTGTTTCTCACGTTAAAATACACTTGTTTTCAAGCATTCTGTTCTATATTTCAAACAAAATTCTACACCCACCAAACATGCCACCAAACATGTACCATAATTTCATCACACAATACATACCACATACAAATATTCATGAAAGTAAACACTGTCAGACAGCTAAGACATTGTGAATAAACACAATTTCCTTAATATAAAACTTTTCCCCTTAAAATATTAAAAATGACACATGCATTTGATGTGGTAGCTAAAGCTCCACTTGGGATGGCTACAACCCATGTGGGAGTCCATGGTCTTGAATCCCAGAATTTCTCCTGGTTCAAGCTTCCTGCTAAGGTGCCCACTGGAAAGCAACAAGCCTGATAGCTCAAGTATTTATATCCCTGCCATCCAAAAGAGGAGAGTACTGACTTCCTAGCTCTAAGCTTTGCTCTGTCTCAAGCACAGCTGTTTTGGGCATTACCCAGTAAACCAACAAACGGAAGAGCCCTTTCCTTCTCTTTGTTTCAAATGTACTTTACATTTTAAAAAATATGGGGAAATATTTAATAAGCTATTCAAATTATATTCATTTCATAGATACTTGGGTGTACTTTAGATTTTAAATTATTCAAGTGTAATTATTACTTATCACAATAGCTTGTGCATTCTTCCTTCCTCCTGTTTTCCCCTCCCACTATTTTTTATGAATTATCATGACAGCATATATCTTTTAGCTTCTTAATGGCTTAAGGATATTATTATACATATTAAAATATTCAAATGCATTATAAGGATATTCCCACAGGCATCTACTGAATGATAATGTCATGGAGTAGAGTTCTTCTGCTTCCTAATTTAGCAATCAATTACAAATTGATACTATGTTGCTCTAATTTCCTCCTTCTATTGTAGAAATGAATAGCAGAATTTTCTAGGTAAAGAACTAAAAGCAATATCATTTTCAAATAAAATTATTTTCACTCTGACAATTACTGGCTGCTCAGGGTATTTTTTTTGTTTTACACGAACTAACCTTATTTTTTTATTGTCTCAATGACATTTCATCTTATCTAATAGGAAAAAGAAAGTATCAATGTATCAATTTATAAAATGTCTCACTATGTGATAAATACATGCTGCAAAATATTTTTAGGGTAGGTGTACAAGGCTGATACTCTATTCAAAGATTGCTAAACCAAAAAACACATATATTATGTTTTCTCCGATACGTGTGAGACAATACAGAATATAAAAAACCCAATATATGCAAGTGAAATGGGCATCTTATGATTTAATGGCTTATGGCTCGTCTCTATATTCCTGTGGAAAAGTGATATTTCTACTTTTTGCTATCTGAACATTATAGTAAATGATTCAGTAAGCCTATGAATATAAAATAATTTGAAAGTATGTTACTGTAAAATTTCAAGGGAAAATAAATAAAGGAATGAGGGGTGTTGAGGAAGGGAAGAAAGTATTCTTATCAACTTAACATTGTATTTCAGGAATACACGAAAACATTTTTCTTTGCCTAGTGGCTAAAATTCTCGCCTTCAATGCACCAGGATCCCATATGGGCACCGGTGCTAATCCCAGCAGCCCCACTTCCCATCCAACTCCCTGCTTGTGGCCTGGGAAAACAGCTGAGGCTGGTTCAAGCCTTGGAACCCTGCACCCACAAGGGAGACCCGGAGAGGCACCTGGCTCCTGACTTCAGATTGGTTCAGTACCAGCTATTGTGATCACTTGAGGAGTAAATCATCGGATGGAAGATCTTCTCTGTCTTCCTCTCTGCCTTTCCAATAAAAAATAAACCTTAAAATAAAATAGATTTAAAATAAATTTTTAAAATTTAAAAAGAAAAATCAAAATGATTTTTGAGCTATGGATAGTATTAAATATATGATTTACTGTATATTATCAACAACTTAGTTTGTGATATATAGAAAAAACCTAATGAAAATACATAAGCAGTTAACAGCATAAACTCTGAAGGTAGAGTTACATGCACTTAATATTTCAAACTTGGTTCCATATTTTGAAGCGTTGATTAGTGTTTTATCTATCATAAAATTGAGATTTCTCCTTGGATCAAAAAAGGATAAAATAACATGAGTTAAAATACTTAGAGCAGTTATTGTAAAATAATATTTGGGAAA